ATGAGTGTGTTTGGATGGTCCGTGTATAAAGTACATCTGGGGGTGTCATTAGAATAATTAGAATCTTGATGATGTTGTAATGATGGGGCAAACAAGGCTCCCTCTATTAATGAGCTGCTGAGTGAAAATCCACTCCCAAACCAGACGCACCGACCCCGAACCCAGGGAAGACAATGAAATATTTGATGTCTGTGTCACTCGTTATTGAAACAAGTATAAGCCTTCCCCCGTGATGTTGCTTCCTCCTCAGAGTCAGTAATGCATGAAAGTATTTTAAAGGTAAAGACCAGTTTTGGAAACGCCCCCCTCTCAAAAAATGGAATGGAAGCTCTTATTACCTATCATGTGAAAAGAATATGTTTTGACTAATACATGATGATAAAAATTTTGCCGGGAAACCGCGTACTAATTGATATATTTGGTAAATAAGTTTATCTACATGGTCTGTGAGAGATACAAATGTAAATGCATGTGTCGCGCACGTGTGCGTAAAGTCCCATATACATCTTTCTGTGTACAGTGCTTGTAACTTCACGAAGACTGGGCCATATTTCTTATCATTTTGATGATTCCAGAACTGCAGTACACACCAATACTTACAAATGTATGTATATGCTACATGATCACCCTTTTCTGGTCGATTCCACAACGTTTCTTTCACGATGCAATCGCATGACCAGAACTCAACTTCATTTTTAAAGCGGAGTTGTTAATCACTTTTTATTTTGCACACTTTTAGGATACAAAAAATGCCACACTTTATGTAAAAATACATGTAGGTACAAAAAGGGCCTTAAACTATTTTAGGCTTTATTAATAATAATAATAATACATTATATTTATATAGCGCTTATTACAATGTTTCTAAGCGCTTTACAAAGTTGTACTTTGTAAATATAATAATACATTCAATAACTATAATTGATATATACTAATCAACCTACAATTAATTGTAACAATTCAAATGAGAAGTCCACCCACGGCTGATATTAGATTGGTTGGTTTTGATAGAAGCAGTGAAATGAGTGAAATGAGTCAGTGAAAGTTTGGGCGAAAACGATTAAAAATAAGAAAGTTATGAATTGTTAAAGGTGGGATCAATCAATCACTAATTCACAATTCCTTGAAGTATCTTGCGACGTTCTCTCACATTGTGCCCTGTACTTTTAAAAAACTCTATATTTTCATTTAAGAACATTTTTAATCGTACATATAATTATCGCAAATATGTTTTAATGCAATCCCTGTATGAAACAAATCTGTTCCGTCATCAATAATTAAGATAGTGAAAGTTTACAGCATTTTCTGTACAGAGTGAATTGGAGACGAGGAGCTTGCGATACTTGCATAGTGTTACCAATTTGTGTTTCACTGATGACATTAAAATATATTAAAATACAATTATTTGTTTCAGGTGAATGAAGAAATACGTGTAAAGAGGCATATAACAAAGATTTGTGCATTAAAATTATTTACATTACAAAAATGGTCTATTCAATTTTTTTAATCTTGATTATGGGTAGTGAGTCTGTATGGTTTCATTTGCCTAGGAACTTCCAATAAAACTCAGTTGCCTAGGAACTTCCAATAAAACATGGGGTACATTTAAGTGCTAAATTTTATAGGCAGAATGAGCGATTTGAAACGCTCATCGTAATCCCGGTTCCACGGTGTACTGTTTATGCTCACTTCTCTGGCTCCTCCACGCATGATTCTGGCTCTGCAGCTGGATTCACAAACCTGCACTGCGCATGCTACGTTGACCCCATTTAAACGCGTTTACAAATGATTGTGCGTTTATGCTTCCCCAGAATCGCTGATCCTAAACGCACCTTTTTTGTGAGTTTACGATCGGCGTTATGATCGCCGTTTTTTCGGTGATTCTACAAAAATGAGAAAGGACGCAACCATGTTTTGAACTAAACGTGTAACAAATGCCTCATTCTGGCCAGAAAAAGTTGAGCATAAACGTACCCTTAGTTGCCTAGGAACTTCCAATAAAACTTACAGTAGTTACCAAGGAACTTCCAATAATAGTTGCCTAGGAACTTCCAATAAAACTTACAGTAGTTACCTAGGAACTTCCAATAATAGTTGCCTAGGAACTTCCAATAAAACTTACAGTAGTTACCTAGGAACTTCCAATAATAGTTGCCTAGGAACTTCCAATAAAACTTACAGTAGTTACCAAGGAACTTCCAATAATAGTTGCCTAGGAACTTCCAATAAAACTTACAGTAGTTACCTAGGAACTTCCAATAATAGTTGCCTAGGAACTTCCAATAAAACTTACAGTAGTTACCTAGGAACTTCCAATAATAGTTGCCTAGGAACTTCCAATAAAACTTACAGTAGTTACCAAGGAACTTCCAATAATAGTTGCCTAGGAACTTCCAATAAAACTCCGGAATGTGAACAAACCAACTGCTTTTCTTGCATCGTAAATGGCTGTATATGTGTAATTCCATAAATGAGGGACCCACTTTGTGACCTTTTGGGTGTCCCACTTGCATGTACATATTTTATAGGGGCTCCCATAATGTATTTGAGTTGTGGCTCTGAGTAAAGACTTAAATAGTGGAGTGAGATTGTTTGGTGATTCTAGGTATTAGGATACAATATTATTCTTGGAAATCACTTTACAATCTCACTCCACTATTTAAGTCTTTACTCAGAGCCACAAATACGTGTGGGTTTCTTATGTAAGTGGGACACAAAAAATGTCACAAAGTGGGTCCCTAACTTATGGAATGATATATTACATGTACCTGTACAGTAAAATGGCATTAAGCTACCAGTATAGACATGGTGTGTGCACTTCAGTCATTCCTTTAGAATGAGATCGATTCAGATGAATGGCTCTGATGAATAAGGATAGGAATGTTGGGCATGTGTGAGCTCCTATTGTTGATTTAACTCTATATTTATTCATCTCTATCCAGGGAGGTGAGACTTTAAACTCACATACCCTGCTCTATCCTTTCCTTTCACCTACATGTAGTGAACTGTATGATTTAAAGGCCACACATGTAGGTGTGAAGAATGAAAGCACTTCGATCACTTAAAGAGAAGGTTGAGTTCTGGGAAGAGGTGAAAACTAATTTGTGAGCATTACTCATTCTTATTATGCAAGTGTGGAAGAACATCAGAGAAGACATGTTCCCTGAAAAGCATGGCTCTTCAAATGCCTTCATATTCTAGATATGCATGTAACATCGTGAAAATCTGGGGGCCGGCTTTTTACACCACGTGTTCGTGCAGTCCCGTATACATCTTTCTGTGTACAGTGTTTGTAACTTTACCAAGCCTTGGCCAAATTTCTTATCATTTTGATGATTCCAGAACCTTGCAATACACACAAATTCTTATATGCTAGATGATCAACCTTTTCTGGTCGGTTCCACACCCTTTCTTTCACAATGCAATCCCATGACCAGAACTCAACTTCATCTTTAAAGAGCAATCCAACTCTTGTAAAAAGTTCAGCAGAAAAATGAGAAACACAGTATGGTGAAACAAAATTATGAATATCTGAACAATTGGATCACTATAAACTAAAGTCTATGCGAATTTTAAATTAGGAGTTTGGTCAGTGGATTGTGACATTGTACATATAGGATGCAGATACAATACATGTAACTCTCCTGTTTGTCATGTACAAAAATGTCTGTTTTTCCTCATAGTGCCTGCAGCCTTCTCTCTTGAGGCACTACTCGAAATAGATTATGGATAGCATAATTATTGTAGGTCTTCTAATGAGAATAGATCCTCCCGAGTCATACATTTTTTTGAATAATTAACCATCCACTTTATCTACATCCAACTTGTTGCCAAGGTTGGATTGCCCCTTTAAGTTTTCCTCAAACCAACTACTACACCTCTGTGCATGCCATTTGAATGAATCTCTGTTTATCTTGCCATCCAGAGCAGGGAGTGGCATTCAAGTATTATTATTAAAGGTCAAACCATGCATTTATTAAGGTTTAGATTGTAGATCAATATCAATTGCAGGTAATACACAACACCATCACACTTGACTTGACAATTAGAATAATATAATATTCAACGAGTGGACCACGCACTAAATACCTATAGCTTGGGCGTGACACTCACAGGTGCCCGGGGGCTGGGGCACAATTTGAAAAGTTAAACATACAGTTATCAACTAAATTATTCATACCCTTAACCAAGTTTTGTAATTTTTTTATTAAAGTATGTGATAATTGGTTTGTCCTAATTTACATCTTGAGAATGTGATATATCATTAAAGTGGGTGTAGCATGACTAGTGTCTTTTCCGTGGCCTGACTCGGGGGGCCAATAGGGTATAATACGACTATGGACGACGCGACCACAGTATTCACGTGCGTGCAACATAAGTGAAACCGAAGCGTGAGGAGAACGTTAATCAAGTCCATTCGTTGACGTTGTCCAAAAGAAGCCAAAGATGGCGTTAACCATTATTTGCCATCTACACCCCCTTTAAACCTTACATCTAAAAGTATTCAACAATGGATCTAATACAACCAGCCCAAACAATGTTGTCAAAATTGCGTTTACTCATGGATAAAATGAATGGAGTGCTTTGAGAACTGGTGTGAATGAGCAAGGTACATGTACATTAGTTTTTCACTTAACGGTTTATTCAAAATATATTTAGAGTATATTGTTGTGGTCGAGTGGATACGTCACCAGACTGTCGATCACAGGGTCCGCGGTTAGAGTCCCGCCTTGACACTAATGTCCTTTGGCAAGACATTGATTTATATTTGCCACACTCAACCCAGGTGAGGTAAATAGGTACCTGGTAGGATTATTCCTTGAAATGCACTGTGTGCTGATAACGGCTGCTAGAGCTAAAGCTAGGGTAATAATTTCCAAAGCTCTTTGGAAGCGCACAGAGATGTTATTTCATAACATATTGTGCGCTATACATGAACTGAACTATTATTAGTATTATTATCATCAAATTAGTGCACTTGTTTTTATTATCTTTTTCAGATTTCCATTGTTTGTGAGACCAAACTCAGACTTTCATCATGCAGGGTTGCGCTCAAAACTGTCTCAAGTTCATCTTGGTCTTCCTGAACCTTCTCATCTTTGTAAGTCCATTATTCATGTATGCGTATTAAAGTGACTACAGGGGGGGGGGAGGAGTGGTGCATAGGGCTGGATATCACCTACTTATTTTATTTGTGTTTTTTATTTTTTGCTTTATGTAATTTTCAACTGTGACTCCTTTCTTCAAATTTTGAAAAGGTAGTTTATGTTATACCAGATTAGGCAGATTTATTCAAGAGCCGTTGCCATTTAAAATAAATATATATTAAAAAAGAAAACCTTTTTTTATACTGATGGCATCCTCCCTCTCTCTTTAGCTATGAACATTTTCTCATGACTGAATAAATAAATATTCCCCCCCCCCATCCCCTCCCCAATATTGTGGGTCTAGTTGTAATGAATACAATGTGCGAAATACTGAAACTGACTTCCTTTTTGTACGGTACATTTAGAGAGCTATGAGAAGGAAACATTGGGTAGAATAATTGGGTCTACAAACTTTTGTCGGATATTATGGCTATTACGGCTGCTTGAATAGGAAACTGATTCAATGTGAAACAGATGGTTTGTTCACACTGCCTTTATAACACTCCTGGGGGGTGTTTCACAAAGATCCAAAGTTGAACTTATCTTTAAGTTGGACTTAACAATCATATGGAAAGCCTTTAGCATCTTTGAAAACATTTTGTAAAAGTTATTTTAAAAGGCATTAAATATTGATTCAAATCATTCATAATTTCTATTACCAAGGAGATTTCATGTTCTTTATGTGGAGTTTATGAAAAATCTAAAACACTTGAATTATTACTGTTGAATATATTTCATTTTGAGGCTAAAAATGGTTCCCCATAATGTTTAAGTCCAACTTAATAATAATAATAATATTTAATTTTTATATAGCGCTTAATACAAAGGTCTCTAAGCGCTTTACAAATATACTATTACCCCGGTCATTGGATTCAGTGCTTGCCCGCACACACTGTGTGCACAATCTCCACTCCCTGGGGAGCATTCCAGCCAGGCGTTACTTAACTTAGAGTTAAGTTTGACTTACGATCTTTGTGAAACATCCCAAGTACTATATAACACTACCTGTACTTGTATCGTATCATCATTTAGTTGGCAATGTGAATGAGGGGGACATGGATGAAATATGTGTGCTTTCATGCAGGTACCCATTACATAGTGGAGGTTCCATGTCAATAAATCAGATTAATAGAGGCTTTTAGACTAGGGCTTTTGTCAACCCATTTCTATTTTTTATGAATTCTGAGTTGTAGTGAATGTGAATAATTGTCTAGTGGAATGCTTTCTGTTTAACAAAAACCCTCTGTAAAAGGTCTGGATATATTAAAAAAGGGATCTCTAGTTTAAGAAAAACAATTGAGCGACAAATGATCATGCAAAAAAAAGGTTTAAAATTAAATCCCCAAAGAGCTACAGTACATGTAGCATGAACAGAAAGTCATTTGTGAATTGGTCATTGGCATGTAGCCTGCTTATTTCCTGTTATTTACGTATGTATGGATCTGTTTAAATAGTACCAGGAAAACTGAATTGTTATTGAAAGCCTCTTAATCTCTAACACACAATAGACTTAGATGTACATGTACATGTAGGTATGTGAAGAAACTACTGGTAGAGATGTGGATCAACTGATCCAGATTGAAGAGATTGTAGACCTTCTTCAAAATGTCATACTCCAGTCCTCCTCCTCCTCCTTCTTCCTCCTCTTCTTCCTTCTCCTCCTCCACCTCTTCTTCCTCTCCTCCTCCTGTTTCTTCTTCCTCTCCTCCTCCTGTTTCTTCTCAGTCTTTGACTTGTTGTCTTCTTCTCCCCCTTCTCTTTTTTTTTTTTCTTCTTCCTCTCCTCTTTTTTCTTTTCTCCTCCTCCTCCTCTTTCTGAGAACCTTTCCCTTTTTTCCTTCTTCTTCTTTTTCTCCTTCTCCTTCTCCTTCTCCTCCTCCTCCTCCTCCTTCTCTTCCTCCTCCCCTCTTCTCCTCCTCCTCCTCCTCCTCCTCCTCCTTCTTCTTCCTCTTCTTCTTCTTCCTCCTCCTCCTCCTCCTCCTCCTCCTTCTTCTTCATTTTCTTCTCTTCCGTCTTCTTGCTTACTGATATATTGACACCACATGTATTAACTACGAGTATCACTATCATATTTTTTTTAATTAGAAAATGGAATTTATTCTTTAACATAATGAATTTTCTCTATCTCTCTTCTTGTCTGGTGTCCTAGCTGTGTGGTATTGGACTCATCGTAACAGGTGTATTCCTGTCCGTTGGAGCCACTGATTGGATCAAGATTGAAGAGATTGCGGCCCTTCTTCAAAATGACCTCCTTCGTGTCGGAGCATATGTCATCATTGGTGAGTTTTCTAGTGAAAAGACCGATTTAAATGAATTTGGTTCAAATGAACATATTGGAAGCATATTATGCGATCTTAAAATATTCAGTGATTGTTGTCGCAGTTGAAATCGAGTCTGAAATGATGAAATCGTAAATAATACAATCTTTACGTTATTTGAAATTTATCAGAATTTACCGGGAGCACCGGTAAAATGTTATATTCAATTTTTCTCAAAAGCAGAAGTGTTATAGGACTATATTTTCTAGAGCTTATGATACATCCACAGGGGCATCCAAATATTTCAAAATTGTAAAGAATCACTATCCAGCCGATTTTCAAAATTTCCCGATACTTTGTATTACCTTATACAAAAGTGGTCTTTATAGTTAGGTGGTTTGTATACATGTATGGTTGTATGACCATACATGTAGTTTGTGAGTGATCAAAGGGACCTAAGATTTCTCAAAATATGTTACCACCAGTGAAAAGAGGAACCTACAATCACTTTGCAAGAATTTTTTTTTACAATAAATTTTCTAGTTGTACCATTTATAGTCTAGAATTTTGCTGTCCATTAGGTAGTAATTGAATTAAATCAACTCGTGATGAATATGAGAAATCTTATATCAAATATCTCATTCATTGTAATGTGGTGTTCCATGTCTTTCATTTTATCTTCTTCAGCTGCTGGATGCTTTGTCATTGTCGTCTCTGGATTCGGCTGTGGGGGCGCCTGTTGTGAGAACAAGTGCATGCTGGGAGTGGTAAGGTCATGACCTTTTCGAATGATACTCTAAAAACAAAATGAAAAATCCTCAGTCAATGGAAAACATGAAGTTTAAGCTTCTACCAAACATAAAATCGAGGACCGAGTTAAACAAAACCACTGCTGTGGACTTTCGAAAGCCAATAATTGTCTTGCTCGTGATCAATATTGTAATCTATAATGCCATACAAAGGTGAACCTGGTTTTTATGAGATCAAAAGGTTGATACCTACCACTTTATCTTGAACTATTAAAGTCCCACTGCACTACTTGCTCCCTCTATATAGAAAACAATGCTGTGCCCGTTGGTCCCCCATGGCCCTCTTTTTATGCCTCCGCCACCGAAGGTGGTGCCGGAGGCATCATGTTTTCGGGTTGTCCGTCCGTACGTCCGTACGTCCGTACGTCCGTCCGTACGTCCGTCCGTACGTCCGTCCGTACGTCCGTACGTCCGTCCCGTTTGACCGTTATCACATTATCTCAAGAACCATTTAAGATTTAAACTTAAGACTCGGGAATAGTATTTATCACCATAGGAAGACGATCTGATTAGATTTTGGAGTACGTAGGTCAAAGGTCACAGGTCACAGAGGTCAACTTATGAAATTCCTTGTATTGAGTTTGTTAGCGCGATATCTCAAGAACCATTTGAGATTTAAACTTCAAACTTAAGGATAGTATGTATCACCATAGGAAGACGATCTGATTAGATTTTGGAGCACGTATGTCAAAGGTCAAGGGTCACAGAGGTCAACTTATGAAATTCCATACATTGAGATTGTTATCATGATATCTCAAGAACCACTGGAGATTTAAACTTCAAACTTAGTGATAGTGTGTATCACTATAGGAAGACGATCTGATTAGATTTTGGAGCACGTAGGTCAAAGGTCAAGGGTCACAGAGGTCAACTTATGAAATTCCATACATTGAGATTGTTATCATAATATCTCAAGAACCACTGGAGATTTAAACTTCAAACTTAATGATAGTGTGTATCACCATAGGAAGACAATCTGATTAGATTTTGGAGCACGTAGGTCAAAGGTCAAGGGTCACAGAGGTCAACTTATGAAATTCCATACATTGAGATTGTTATCATGATATCTCAAGAACCACTGGAGATTTAAACTCCAAACTTGTTTAAATTGCTCTATGGCGGAGGCATCATTTTCGACTGCGCGCAGTCAAAATTCCATCTAGTTCTAATGTTTATTGAGAGCTGAGTTGATGAGATAACCACCTGTCAGTGACCATGCTGGGAGGTCTAAACCCTCCTGGCCAAACTGGTGCAGACAGGCTTTAAGTACGTGACACCATAGCTTTGACTTCCCCAAATATGTTCTGAATACAAGCCTTTGTTTTGTTATATTCCAGTACTTTGCGATCCTCCTGTTGATCTTCTGCGCTCAACTTGCCGCCGGGATCCTGGCCGCTATCTACTCTGCTGAGATCAAGACTTACATCACCACTGAGTCTGTGGATTTCCTCAAGGAAGACTACAACAACACGATGAATGGCACCGCTGTCGACATAGCCCTCGACGTAGCCGGCACAGCCGCATGGAACACCGTCCAGACAACGGTTAGTCATGCCAATCCTCAAACTGGTAAAGGAGGATCGCTTCTAGATGGAGAATTTTTTTGGGGGGAGGGGGTAGGCTTTTAGGAGCCTTTTTTGGATTTGGGGTTCCTTCATTCATTTTTCGACATAGGCCTTGCTCAAATTTATTTATAACGGGGAAAAAAATTGCAGGGGAGGGGGAAGGGGGAGGGGACTCCCAAGCCTTCCTCTAGAAGGCTGCTGGTTTGGAGAATGATGTTTGCCAGAGAATTTCCTGCCCCTCCCCATCCATTTTTTCCTTCACAAGTCCTTAAAGGGAAAGTCCACCCCAAAAATAAGTTTGTTTCGATAGAGGCAGAATAATAAGAAAATCAGGTGAGTGAAAGTTTGAGCAAATTCTGAATAAAAATAAGAAAGTTATGAATTATTGAAGTTGTGATCAATCAAATACAAATTGGCAACTCTGTGACTTATTATACGAGCTCTCCTTCATTTGCTTTGTGCATAATATTCCATAAAATCATGTTTTCTTCGTTATTGATGACGGAATATATATTTGTTCCTTGCAGGGGGAGTATAGAAACATATTTGCAATTATTATATTTAGGGTGCATGTATGGTTGAAATTTTTCTTGAGGAAAAATGAAAATTTTAGATTTTTTTAGTACTGAGCAAATGGAAGTTGAGCTGGCATGATACGTCATAGAGTTGATTGATCACAACTTCAAAAATCCTAACTTCCTTATTTTTAATCGGAATTTGCTCAAACTTTCACTGACTTGTTTCTCTCATTTTTCTACTCCTATTAAAACTAACTTAATTTCAGGGTGGACTTTCCCTTTAACGTTGTCATTGGTTACTACCAATAGTCAGTTTTCATGTAACAGACCTACCAATGTATGTCTATTTCTACCTCCTATTGTCCTTTTATTTTAGCCAGTATTCTTGGACTTTAATAGTGTTGTTGTTTACGTATCCATGTTTTTATCAGACTTTGCCGATATCCTAGAGCGCTACATGTTTGGCCGCTCTGCAATGTTGGGGGTATTAATGTTGGAGCGTCAGGAGCGTCACAGCGTGACATACATGAGTGCTATACAAGAAGCCACCATTATTATCATTATTATTATTAAATCTTTACATGCCACACAGATAATCTCCCTGAGCCACATTTTATTTATCATAGGATAGATCTACCAAAGGCTTCAAGATTATTGAACTGTTTCCTGTGCAAGAGTAATCTATAAACATGTGTTAAATGGTTTGTCACGTAGCTAATCAAGAAGGGAAATAGGCAATTCAACTAGGTCTTTGTGTTCTGAATTGCACACATGGCAAACGAGCAACCTAGCATATTGGCACGCATGGCAAATTAAAGGTTACTAAATGAGATGAATGAATTTCTTTTCTCTACAGTTGGAATGCTGCGGGGTGAATGGTATACAAGACTACATTGACAACCCATACGTTAATAGTGCTCAACTTACAATTTGTATGTCAAGTGATGGCAGTACTAAGGTTAGTAAACCAAACATTGATTTTTGATTTGATTTGATTTGTTTTCCACTCAAATATCCACAAACTAAGTGACATATATAAACCATACAATAATACAATATATAATAGAACAAATGAATTATACAAGTAACGAAATCCTGACAAGTATGTTCAAATCAAATAAAGTACATTTAAGTTTGAGAATAAGACAAAATATTTTATATTGCTTGATTTAATGAGAGGGGAAAAAAGGGAATCTCAGAAAAGCTAGGCTTGTTGAGCGAGATTCCCAGTATAAATTAAATAATGGACCATCAACAATGTGCATCAAATTTCGCACATGTCCGCTCCCAGAGAGACCAGAGACGCGCGAACCCATCCGCCCGCCATCTCCCATCTCCCCCGCCATCGGTATATGAATAGCATTTTTTTGCATTAATGCACACATTTCCAGTAGCCTCATAGACTGACACTTTCATGAAGCTGAATTCCCCCCGAACAAGAATAAAATTGCATTTAAAAATCAGTTAGGTTCCAAACAATACTATATCCATTCAAGTCATGCATTGCAACTTGCATACAGTATGCAATATTTTCAGTTCCAAAAAGTAATACATCCAATCTCAGTTCCCAAAGGTACTACATCCACCAAAATTACAATTACATAAATTCATGTAATATATTTGTGCAGGCTTAGATATTTTTAAAGAGTGGTTTTATTCTTGTATCATACAAGAATAATCAGCCAAGGTATCATTCCAAACTTATATTGCTAACTATGATAATTTAAAAAATCATGTTTTTTTTTAAAACTTGGATTTATAGATGTAGTACCTTTTGGAACCGAGCTCTTCATATCATAAAACCCACTTCATTGAATAGTGTTTCTCATTGAAGCGTGTACTAAAAGAACCTTCACATAAAGACCACTTGATTCCATTGAATAGTGTTTCTCATTGAAGCGTGTACTAAAAGAACCTTCACATAAAGACCACTTGTTTCCATTGAATAGTGTTTCTCATTGAAGCGTGTACTAAAAGAACCTTCACATAAAGACCACTTGTTTCCATTGAATAGTGTTTCTCTTTGAAGCGTGTACTAAAAGAACCTTCACATAAAGACCACTTGATTCCATTGAATAGTGTTTCTCATTGAAGCGTGTACTAAAAGAACCTTCACATAAAGACCACTTGATTCCATTGAATAGTGTTTCTCATTGAAGCGTGTACTAAAAGAACCTTCACATAAAGACCACTTGATTCCATTGAATAGTGTTTCTCATTGAAGCGTGTACTAAAAGAACCTTCACATAAAGACCACTTGTTTCCATTGAATAGTGTTTCTCATTGAAGCGTGTACTAAAAGAACCTTCACATAAAGACCACCTGTTTGCAAATACTCCTCCTCATTTTTCTTTCTTTAGTGTTCTTTATATACAGGTTTCACTGTATATCAAGATTCTGGACGTCAAAGACCATATCTGAAATGAAAAATGAAATGGATGAATTATATATCAACGAAAAGCTTATAAGCCATTTTAGTGTCCGTCAGAGGAGTATCAACTCTCTGAAAACTAAAAATCTAAAGCTTTGAAAATCTGAAGATATCAACCTAAAATATTGCCATCGACTTGATGACATCATCTTATGTGGAGTAGGCGTATTCACAATGACTTGCATTAATTATTGCCTCCAGGCTGTTTCTTTCACAATGTTATCCCTGGGGGGTGTTTCTCAAAGCCGTTTGTAAAGTTACGCATGACTTTAGGAACGACTTGTATATGAAAAGCCAAATGGGATGCTCAATCATCATTAACTGCATCAACTAAAGTTGAACTGTGCAGATGTAGATTAACATTCTTATTATAATAAACATTTTTAATGCAAAGTATATTTTTTGCCATAATTTAATTGAGGTTATTGGAAATATCAGAGGAAACTTTGGGCATCCTATCTGGCACTTCATATACAAGTCGTTCGTAAAGTCATGCATAACTTTACGAAAAGCTTTATGAAACAAAAAAGAGCCGTAATCATCTCTATCTCTGACTTGAACTTGTTGTGAATTCAGGAGGTTCCCCTATATTGATGACATTTGTTTTTCTTTCTACTTGAACAGGGTGGATGTCAGGAGCCCCTTGAGAGTTTACTTGAGATGTATGCCACCGTCATCGGTGCAACCGCCATTGGCGTAGCCTGTCTGGAGGTGAGAACATCAGATATTTATGTGACCATGGGCTTTGACGCTTCATATCTTTTATTGTTTCCCCTGGGATTATGCCGAACGATACTTTGGAATCAGCAGCGTTACGCTGCCATGTATGCCCCGGCATATTCTTGTGTGCGCTCTAACTGCCACATTCCTTGATGGATTTCTTTCAAGCTTTGTATAGATTTATATCTTGGTCCAATCTACACATCCTTAATTTTTGGTATCTTTTATTTCTTAATACATTTTTAAAAATATATCTTTTTAATTATTCCCTTTTTTTCTTTCTTTCTTTTTCTTCACCTTTTCTCAAGAGTATACCTCATGAGGTATCAAGTTTTGTCCTCTGTTTGCATTGACATTTATTGAATTGTGTTAATGCAATAATCAGGCCTGATAAAAACCCGATTTAAATCAGTTTCCCGATTTTATTTTATTTCCCGATTTTTTTTTTCTTCCCGATTTAAAAAAAAAAAATCCAGATTTTTTTTTTTTTTTTTTTTTTTTTACCAGATTTTTTTTTTCTTCCCGATTTTATCCTGGTTTCCCGATTTCCCCTGGTTTAAGCTAATTATGACATACTGCACACGGAAACTGCAGACCATATCCCTTTAAAGGCATTGTTTAACAATTTAAAATCTGAGATGCATGGCCATACATGTTAGCAGTACATGTATCTGTAATACTGAAGCCCTAAAGCTTCAAAATGTTTGAGTGACTGGTTTTACCATACTCATTTTCCACAATAGACTGTAGTGTTAGGAAAACTAAAAACGAATTTTCGATTTCCATTCGTAAATATCTTGATAATCATTGGTGATCGGCTTGTAAAAGTCATGAGATTCCTGACTGACCTAAAGGTTTATAATTATGATTGCAGCATGAGCTAAATCCAGGATTTGTTTCGGAATCTGAGGCAATGTTACCAAGTCACAATAAAATAACACTTTTCTTTTCTTTCTTGTTTATCTGCAGCTGTTCTGCATGGTGTTTGCCGTCTGTCTGTGCAGAAATGTCGGTCAGGACGACTAAAGCCAGTCGCTAGAGGTGGAGCTGAAAATAAAACTAAATGTGAAATCCAAAAAGGGAGTGCGGAAAACTTCTTTATTTTATCACCACCAAACCACGCTACGTAATGATCAACTTTCTGCCTGGGGTGACCTAGTGACCTTTCATGTAGAGTGTCAAGAGAGAGGTCAAATGTCATGGGGTCAAATGTGTATCCAATTTTTGTAATTGGTTCATGGTGTGATGCTTGTGTTATGTATATGAAGTAAAACGTATAAGGGCTAGTGTGCAGTGTTTACAGTGATCGTTGGCGAGTAATTTGAACAGTATGCTCAAATGACTTGTCGGGTTGGTTTAATTATTGTTCTTGTGCCGTATCGTGATGAACAGTGTAACTTAATGGCTTAGCTGTTCGCATTGTAAATGGGAAGGAAGAATATGCACAAAAAGCAAGCAACTGTATTAGTCCTTTGCGCTTTACATGAAGGTATATTCAGGCAGAGAGTTGATCATTCTGAAATTATTTTGTCACTTTTAATTACTTCGCTGCAATTCTTGCATGTTTTCTTTTGCCAGTGTTCTATACTATGTAATTTGAGTGTCATGTCCATTTATATTGTAGCAGTATTTATGGAAAAACATCATGATCATCAAAGAGGCTTTTGTTTTTATTGAAACTAATTTGAAACATTCAGGTATTTTTTAAATTGTCTCACTCCTTGAATAGTACTGATTTTTCTTCATAGCTCTAGTTTTTTATACTTCATTTTCCATTACTACAGCTATTACTAGTACTACAAAGAGCAAGTATGGTTCATTCCCCCCCCCCCCCCACCCATCATGCAATATTTCAACCATGTTATCAACGTTTGGAAACATTAATTTATGTTTAGCTGTTTAATATGCAAAGAGGCTTTAAGGGGATGGGTTCGTGTATAGTTACTCAATTTAAACAATTTTGAGGCTTTTAAAGGGGTTGGTAACATTATCTATGGATGGTAAATTTTAACATTTTTCATGAGACTAACTAAATATTGGATTATCTATTTTTTTTAAACTGTGTTTCGAGACTGAATAACCAACATGAGGCTGAATATATGGTACCCTAGTTAGGAAAATAGAGGCTTGAAAACATTATCTAGGTACAACAGAACTTGTGGATACCAAGAAGGATGATGGGCTGATATAGCAGTATTGGGCCTGAAATACAACAGTATGATATCTTTTTTGTCAAGAGGCTGCCAGGTGGGATTATGATAGTACAGAATAAACATGTGTTCTGGAATATATGAAAGGAAGAATTAATAGACAAAGAAATCAATTAAAGTATTGCCTAATCTCTGCTCACACTTTCCAAATCATCTCTTCTTCATGATGAAATTAAAAGAATTGAACTAAAGTCAATTTCTCACTATACTTCTACATTAAAGAAAGAATGTCCCAATTATGATATCAAAAACATACATGCTATATTTTTGTTCTCATCTTTTCATTCATTTACTTATTTTAGCCATAATATTTGAAAGATGTTGCTGCTCTTAGCTGACAAATTTTCTATCAATATGCTTTACTTTCTGAAGAAATTACTTTCATCTTAAATCAGTCTCAAGCACTTTCATTTTGTACTTTGATTTGCACTTATTCTGTCGGTAGACAACATTAATCAAGTAAGTTAGCTGTATGGTACTCCTAAGGAAATATGCTGTAATATATTCTGCATTTAAACAGTACGTTATTGACATAGACTATGTGTGTAAGTGTATTATTGGGTGTATGTATGTATGTACAATATTAGTAACTTTTGAAGTGTTTTATTAATAGGGAGAGTATTGTAGTATAATATGTTGTAAAACTTCTGCAGTTAGAAGAATTGTAAGAAACAACTTTCTTCTTCAGAAATGGATTTGGTTGCAAGCTTGGCCATAACAAATTTCTTCATAAGAATTCTGCAGCATTCCTTTTTGTTGTCTAAAAATTGAATAGAGGCCATGATGATACGATATGGTCATCTGTTAAAAATCATGAGTGATGGACCCATATGTGCAAAATGGTGTCAGTGGGAAAATTAAACGGAATGTGATAAAGATGTGGTCAGCTGAAATGTTTTGGCGGAACCAAGTTGGAAGCTTGAACACATCCTTGTGGTTATAGACTATCACTATATCTCCATGATTGGTTTTTAATAGATGCCTAGTCTCAAATTTAGCCTGTCTGATTGCTAGGAAACATCTGGGGTAGGGGGGGGGGGGGGGGGGGTCTCATGCGTGTATTACTCAGTGATGGTATCATAGTAACGTGTTATGTAACTTATTAATGTGTAGCAAGGGTTTAGAGATCCTCCTTTTTTCAAGGAAGAAAATATGTTAATGTGAATTTTGTGAGATATTGTTATCATGTTTGTATGGATATGTACAGTGTATGCATGATGTCTTTAGGTGCTTGATCGTCTTGGTTTCTAGTTGTTTGTGCCTTCTTTTTGGTATATACCTCTAATCTTGGATCAAAACGACAATCACTTCTCTTCAAACATAACACCTGGGGGGAGCTAAAAGGGCGCGACGGCTTTAATACGCCCTTTTGGCCCTCATCAGGTTGTAATTTAATCCATGAGCATACACGTCTCTCATTGAGTATATAGGATAATGTCACGTTAAAGAAAGAAATCAAGGATTGTTTGCTTTTCACCACTAAAATGAAAGTGTCAGGTGACAAGTTTCTTCAGTCATGTGACTGAGCTGTGAGGTCATGTGACTCACCTGAGAGTTTTTATGTATATCTTTTTTATTAGCCAGGGTGTACACATTTCGTATCAGAGAGATTTGGAATTCTATTTTTAGGCAACAGAAATTATTCTAGAGAGAAATTAAAAAAATGAAATGAGCATTATAGTCAAAGATAATGTACAGCTTATGAGAAAATATGGGGAGAGATGTTCAATTATATGCTATATTTAGAGGAGGAAATTCACCCGATTATTCACCATGCACAGTTTTTTTTTCCAGCTAGCTCACTATTCAAGATATTAAAGGTTAAACCTGCTAATGAAATGCTCGCTTCCCTTCCCCTCATGAAAATCAAGATACTGCAGTACCATGAAAAAAGATTAGGTTAGAAGATAAATAACAGATACTCAAAATAGACCAATTCCCCTTGTTGCAATGGGAGGAATATAGGTATATGTATTGCTAGTAAGGTATGGGTACTCTGGCGGGCCAGAATTACTGCTGAAAATGAGCTCCAAAATATATTCTCCTTGTTCATGAGTAACCCTACTATTCTTTCTTATTAGAGAGTCATACACACAGTGTGAGTAACGTGTTAGAAACATTTCATTCTTAGACATCATCTCAGTCTTTTCTATTCTTAAAACAACTCGATGTTCTAGCTCTCATATAACTTCTAACCCAAGCTTCAATCCTTTTTGAAGAAAAAAAAGTTTTTAGTCAAATTTGTAACTCATTACATCGATTTCAAACCTTGAAATATCAACCTTTGAACTTTCATCTATGACCTTTGAACTTTGTGACTTATGAGGGTTACCTCTGACCTCTAATCTATACAGCTTCCTGTTCCTCTGCAAAGCAATGGTAGTTTTTTCTTAGTGGTTCTATATCAACATATGAAGTAGGTAATTCAAAGGCACTTTAATTATGGTAGAATATGCACAATTTTGAATGTATCTGGATGTATATATCTATATATGATTCCTAGATTGGGATGGCTGCCATAGCTGGTAAATACACAAACATAAAACAATGTCATCCCTTGACTTGCAAAAATAGACAGAGTCTTTGAAATTATAAATTCTGATGTAGATATCTGTTTGAGAAATTTTGAAGTCACAAACAATGTCATCTGTTGATTTGCAATCAAAAGAGTGCTGAAAATTTCTACATCTGAAAACTTCTACACCATGAAAAAAAAGGGATTGAATGTAATGAAATATGCATTTTTAGGGAGGGAGCAGTATTATCATTAAACAAACAAAAAACTATCAATATCTATTAAGATGATGAGTATGCTATGTGTTAGAATGTTGTAGAAATATTTACAGGTTTTAATATCATTTTTACACCAATTTATTTACTGAATTGTGTTGAGAAAGCTATCCGTTGTCTGTCTGAGCTATGGCAGCCAGCCTATTACTATAATGCAGTGTACTTGTTTGTATATATTGATATTGGTCATAATTTTTCTCTTTTTTTTTTTTACATGCCGTGACTTTTGATTCTCAGTGTTGGCCTAAAATTTATGGAACGTTTTGAGAAGGGTATGGAGCCGTGGGCCCAGAGCTCACTGGTAGGAAGGTCATGTTGGATTGATGTTAGACCTGGTCCTGCTAGGACTGAGTCTCAGACTCATTGTCTGTGAATAGGTACTAAGATAAGGACCAACTTCAGGTCTAAGAATATGGCAATATAAGTTTGGTTTAGCTCATCAGGACTAAACTCAGATCCTCTACAGAAGCCCTGCATTAATGTAGACCTTCTCATGTGTGTATCCTTGAATGCCTCATGTACACTGTAGGACGACAAAACCATGTTCGTGCCAGAGCCAGAGTCAAAATCTTACTCTCAAGACCTAGATCTGAACATCAATCCCACATGGCCCTAGGAAAGTTTTTTGTGTGAATGAATATCATGAGATGAGGAATGAAGATCATTGTATAAGCAATCACGTTTGGTCCAATTTTTACTTGATATGAATAAAATAAATTAATCTCCCCTACATCATGTTTGTGTCAATTATTTTTGTTTTGTTTGAGTTGTATCTTAGGATGGGACTTTACAGACATCAACCCATGTAATGAATTTACAATCTCAGGGAGCATCTTGCATAAACAATTGCAATTAAGAGCAACTCAAACAGTTAGCGCAAGTCCCAAATTTGCGCTCTTGAATTGCTTAAAATCAAGGTTTGTTCAAGTGCAAATTTGATGGCAAAGGCCCCTGATCATACAGACTTGAATAGGGCAAGAGAAGTTGATGACATTTAAATCGCATCTAAAGGAAAGAAACAATTGAGGGGATCGGCGTGGGTGTTGTGTGTGTGTGTGTGTTTGAGGGGATCGGCGTGGGTGTTGTGTGTGTGTGTGTGTTTGAGGGGATCGGCGTGTGGGTGGCTGGGTGTGTGTGTGTGTGTGGAGGGGTCGGGGGGGGGATGGGGTGGCTGCATTCAACCAAGTTCATATGTACAATATATACGAACAATAATACAAGCATAATTATGCTTCGATCCCAAGCGTGTAATAAGGAAAATATGTACATGCATTATTCATGGTCAAAGAAAGGATTTGTGAAGTATTACGTAAACAGCCGTTACCATAGCAACCCAGTATTCTGGCTTGATAAACTTTTGTGTGGAAAGGAAACAAGGGAAAAGATGCTACTACTCTACAAATCAGCAGCTCATAATTTGCTTGTCATTGTAATGTTGTACAGTTGTAGGTTTTTGTGTTCATGACTCTGCAATTGTTTCCATGGTCACTTGTTTGTCCGTAGTTGCGATTTGGCGAGCTTCTTTTACTTTCCTGCTCGTTTTATCTCTCTTCATCTCTCTTCACTTCTCTCTCTCTCTCTCTCTCTCTCTTCCACTCCCTTAATCTCTCATCTCACTGCTGATCCTTGCCCCTTCTTTCTGTCTTGCTCACTTAGTCTCTCTCTCTCTCTCTCTCTCTCTCTCTCATATCTCCCCTTCTGCATCACATTTACATGTACCTTGCATTATAATTCCTTGAACATTAATTTGCTTATTTTGGAGCTCCAGTTTCCCCCCCCCCCCCCATTTTTTCATACTGCTCTCACTATGAACATGACAGACAAAGAAAGCGGACAAAATATATAGTTCCTCAGGTAGACAAAGGAACATCCCTTCACTGCTATTATGTAAAAAGGTGAATATGCATGTGACACCTGTTCCACACTTTTTTACATAAAGGCAGTGAAGGGATGTTCCTTTGTCTACCTGAGGAACTGTATATTTTGTCCGCTTTCTTTGTCAGTCATATTCATAGTGTCTATTAAGATGCAGTATGCACCGGTCCATATACTATTATTAAATATAATTTATATGTTGTGCTACCATTAAACCACTAAATAAGTGCAAATTTCAATTTGGAAGTTTGGTCCATGGATTGAGGCATTTCTAAAAAATGTGGTGGAGAAATATTCATTATTAGCACAATTACAGTCATTGTTCTTTTCAAATGTGAATTTTGTAACTGGCAGTGTTTTATTCACCCCATTTGTTGTGTACAAGAATGAGGTCTTCAATTTTCACTCATAGAGAGAAAACTACAGAGTCATTTGATCTGACATTTTGCACATACTTTCATTAACTGAACTTGATGCTACAGATGAATTTCGAGATGATTTCTTAAGGGCTTGCAAATCCCTGATACAGGCTTTAACATGCAAGGCCAACTTAGCGAAAGAACACTGCAATACAATGATGATTTTGTGACTAAATATATATAATATATATTCATATGTATAAACGGTAGCAAGGATGGACATTGTACCAAAATGTCTAGAAACAATGTATAACAGTGTAAGCTTTTCAACAGTGCAAATCATATCACAAATGATGTCACAATCTAAAATCTCATATATACACAAGCTCTAACATATGGGAAGCAATTCGATGGTAATAAAATGATATTAACATTTCTCAACAATTAAATTTGTTAATCAGAAGTATGAGATACCTCAGTAAATAGGTTTTTATTATAATTAAATAGTCATTAACTGTGAAAAAATCCATAAAAATTAATCCTTTGAGCCGACAACTGATATGTGTCATTCTGTCACGAAAGATGTTAACTCATACAATTTCCAGCTATTTGGTCGATGCCCACAATTATACAATTTCCACACAACTGCGCAAGGAGTGTCATTTTTGACAGACATGGCGCATTATAAATGTTCACTATTATTATTATAATCATTAAAATCAAATCTTTCACAAACACTTGTGTAACTAATGACAATTCATCATCATAACACTTTCTGGTTAATTTCTGCCAGTCTGAGTAACAAATTTAGGTGTTGAGAAATTTGCTATTTTGTATTTCCATTACCATGTACCTTCCCAGAGGTCTTTAGAGATCCTTCGACACTGACAGAAATCTATATCTACTGCAGGTCAATGTTGCCTCCAAGAAATTTAATACAAAACTTTGTGAAAACCAAATTTAAAGAAACAATATGACATTAATTTATTCATAAATTTCATAAATTTAATAGACAATGTATATTTCAACCATATTTTGTGAAAGCTCTACAGATATCAGAAGCACACCCATCTTGAAAGATACATTTAATTATATTTTTGTTAATAAGCACCGCAAGATAATGTTTCTTTTCCCGAAAGATCCAAAACAAAATGTGGAATTCAAGATTTTGGCCGCCATTCATAAATGAGTACTAACCTTAGCCTAGGTTTAAACCCTCATTCTTCAATGTATGTACTACATTTACATAATCAACCTTGCACAATGCAATCTCATTCTCATTTCTCAATTTTTGATACATTAAACGTTGGGCGGGCGGGCAGGACATATGCAGCACTGATATTGACTGAATGCGGTGTTAGCTGGCTGGAGCCGAGTTGACCCCAAAATGCACTTTGTTTAAAAAACAAATGGGCTTTACCTTCTTTCTTTTTTTAATAAAAAAAAATTACTTTCATGATATCATTTCCCCTTAAGGACAACCCAAACACTGTGTCGAATACATGTACAGACAGTTCTGACGTTTGACCCGTTTGATGAATTCGTCGGTGAAAGCCAGAAGGTCGTTAACTCTGTGTTGACATATATGAGTTAATGCCCTTCTGGCTCCATATAGATCCAATCAATGGGTGATCTCAGTGCTGGGATGGTTACCTATCAGCAGATGAGATGAAGAAGGACCTTAAATGACATGAGTTTTACTCCCTTTAAGCTCTAAACAGATAGTATTTGTGCTATTACATGTACTGACTACATAATCTCATATTATCTGCGTAATGTGCTGAGATATGATACTCTTTCTCTCCCCCTTTATAAAAAACGTGTAAAAACTTCCAACCTGTGATTATATCTCAATTTTGTCTCATTTTAAACTGCTTCTCTAGGTTTCCTTATACAAATAGTATATGTTACTCTTGATATAATTATATCACACTGCTGCAAAGCCACTATTGAGAAACCCCTCCAAACTAGTTTGTTAAATATAATGATACCTTACTTTTAAATGAAATATATACATTTACATGCACTGATTCTTACATGATTTACATTTCTCTGTTTGCTATCAATATTTCTTATTTCAATTTGGACAATAGTACACGATTAAAACATGACAGTGCTGCTCTACTCAATCATACACAACACATATAATAATAACACAGTAAGTGAATCTAAGGGTTAGATAATAAAAAATTGAGGAGAATATTTGTATACAGAGCAAATACTAACTAAAAGATACAATTGGAATCATACACATACATGTAAGAGATGTCTGTTTATACAATGCAATTTGCGTCAAAAACATCTTCAGTATAATTCACATTCCAGATAACATTGGATTTTCACTGCAGTACAGATGTAACAGAAAACTGATGGAAATTGATTTGTGAATAATAATAGTGGTCCATTAAATGAAGCATGTATGGAGCTTGTATCAAATTTGCAAATAGTGCCATTCTATTTTCTCTGTGTTTTTTTTTAATCAAAATTTGTTCCTCTTTCTATTCTGTCCTTTCACCTTCTACCATCTTCTTCTCTTTCTTCCCTTTTCCGCCCTTTCCCCCTCTTCTTCTTCCTCTCTTCATTTTCCCCTTTTTTATACTTCTTCTTATTTGTTAATTTTGTTTTTCTTTCTTCTCTTTCTTCTCTTATCTAAAGTGGTTAGCTTGTCATCAGCAGACACATTCAATGCTGGCCATATTCAAATAAAAAGTAAAATGATTTTGGTTTGGAACAATATTGAGATAAATGCATTTGACTAAACAATGACATGGTGTAAACAGACATACATCTAGAGAGAGAGAGAGAGAGAGAGAGAGAAGAGAGAGAGAGAGAGAGGGAGAGGGGGGGGGGGGGCTAATAGTACATTGAATTACTGCTTTGCAATATATACATAAAAATAACATTTCAATTATAATATTAATACAATGACAAATCAAGAAATATTCTCTACAAGCTTGAGTAAATATTATTGCTCTTATTACCTCCTTTAAAAATAATCACATATATTAATCAGTGAGAATCTTTGAGAGTTTGATAAAAATCTAAATGTTTATATCTGGGGCCGTATTCTGAGAATGAGTTATCTTTTATAGATGTAAGGGAAGACAATGCTAATTGTCATAACAAACTGAGATTACGTGGAACCAACATTGGTGCTATAACAGATGTCTCTTTTAACTTTAAAGCAGATGCAGTCTGCTTTGCACAGACATTAAACAATGACTTCTCCTAGTTTTTATTTGTAATGACAATCAACATGATTGTAATATACTAACAGAAAAGATAACCTCATTTTCAGAAAACCAACCCTGATTAGTTCAAATGATAAACTCAAAGCTTTCAACCAATTTGCTTCAATCTTTTATACGGCATTGTTGTGCCATCATTAATGAATATTAAGTACTATTTTAAAGCAAAGAAACAAGAGATGTACATGTATACCGCAGCGTATTGGCTTTTAAACAATTTCTTTGTAGTTCATCTATCTCTGTGTTAATGTTTATGATTTAATTACCTTCTGGCACTAAGCAAAAAAGTCCTCTTTCACTTTGTTACTGGTGCTATGACTGCATCCATTGACATCTTTAATTTTCATTAGAGTGTGGTATCTTGCAGAAAACTGACTTAACATCTCTTAGTTTTTTTTTATGTTCAAAGTCTCGACAGTATTACAGAATCAAACATAATCGTTTAAAGATAGAACCTACAAATATGCCCAAATATCCTCAACTAACATCTATATATTTATCAGTAATAAAGTGAATACAGCGTCCTGGAATCATCTTACTCAATTTGATCCTTCTCTTCAATGCGATGTTCACACATTTTGTCAACAAAATCTTACTATCGCTCACAAACCTTTCTCATTTGATAACACCTATTGAGAGCAAAAAAGGGCATTAATTCTATGTAAAGAAATGGATCAATGCCGTTCTAGATCTCAAACTACAATGCTTTTTTTTATTAACTTATATCGTGCCATAAGGCTGCATGCACACTATTGTTAAGGTGCCATGTACATGCTAGCAAGCTATTGCTCCTCTGCTTCTTGCATGATGGCACGCAAATGTAATAGCAGTTATTGTTCATGCCCATTGGACTGTGCCTAGTGTTTTGCACGCGCTATTCATAGAACCATCGCGTTAATAGGATTATCTCCAAAACAATCTGGCACAGGGGGATTTGGGGCCGTGGCACAATGGGGATTAGCCCTGTGGCAGGATAAGAGTTAATTTCTCTAAGCATGACTCATCAAAATCATACTTTCAGTAATTGATTTATCCTTCTTTTTTTAAAAATCTGATACTGCTAAATCATACTGCAACATTTCTGTTAAATAAAACCAATTCCAATTACTTACGACAGGTTCTTTCTACCATTCCATATATGGGTATATATAAAAACATTCTTTAAAGATCATATTTGTTGATATTTACAGCAGAACTTTCTACATGGAAGTACAAAAACATTAATACCATATCAGTTATGAAGTGTGAGTGCCCTATGAACTATTGATCAGTAGATATTACACACAACTAATGCCCTCCTGCAGCACGACAATGATTGATACATAGGGTATATCTTCTTCGTAACAATGAGGGCACTATATTTCTTTAAACAACGTTTAAACCACACCTCATTTATATTCATTGTCACGTTCCCTGATGCATACACTTACACAATGGGCGGATTTTCCACATCTAACTGATACAATTTTGTTTATAATTTTGTTTACAATTTCATTTTATACAAGATTATCAAACGGGAATGGGGCTGCACGCAAGGAACGTTGGGCAAAAAATCAATATACATTGTGGACAAGTAAATAATACAAACAAAGCTGCACAAAAGTTTCATAATTGATAGAAAATCTATTTTTTTTGTTAAAGTCATTTGTAAAGCTCTTGCTAATACCTCATTTATACAAAATACACACAACACTAATGTTTCCATTTAGAATCCCTTATCTTGGCTAAGAGAGAAAGCTTTCACTTTCTAGCTAGCAGCCATTTTGTACTCCTGGGTGGAGAAGCAGACGAAGACATCAACTGCCTTAGTCTAATCTCACAAACTTCTTACAAGCCCAACTATAGCACTCTCATAATAAATAGACTTTTAGGTACCCTCCAACTTTTGTAAGTCCAGATTGAAAAGAAAAAAAATTAAAAAATGAATTCTGATACCTGAATCCTTTCCTTTCAATTGGCTTACTACAGGGATGACCAGGTTTCAGTGGGAAATGGTTTAAAGTGAAGCATGCTATATGGGTGGAAACATTGGAATGGTCATTGGAATTAGTCATCTAATGAAGTTTATATTGAGGAAATTAGGCTTTAAAATCCTTTCAACTATACTACCATAGTGTAAATGAAATCCTTAGCACTCTTGTTGAATATCAACATTATCTTGCTGCACTAAATGCTGATCACTAGTAGTTAAACTTTAAGAGCTGCCCCCCCCCCCTTGTTCTTAAAGGTAAAGACCAGTATTGGCAACGCCCCAATTTCAAAAATGAAATGGAAGCTCTCATTACCAATCATGTGAAAGAATATGTTTTGACTAATACATGATGATAAAAAATTTGCCGGGAAACCGCCTACTAATTTATATATTTGGTAAACTTATTTCTCTCATGGTCTGGTGAGAGAGATAGGGTAGTCCCATATACATCTTTCTGTGTATAGTGCTTGTAACTTTACGAAGAATGGGCCAAATTTCTTATCATTTTGATGATTCCAGAACCTTGCAAATGCTAGATGCTAGATGATCAACCTTTTCTGATCGATTCCACAACGTTTCTTTCACAATGCAATCGCATGACCATTACTGGTCTTTACCTTTAACAAAATTAATTAACAATTAAACAAATTTCAAGACCATTCATTTCAAATTATTAAGTAGTACCTTACAAATCAAAGAACCATCACCTTGCTTACATCCTGGAGCTATAGAATCGAAAACTTGCCACACCCTATGCTCCACAATGTACACAAATAAATGAGGAAAGGATTTAAATTAACTGGGTTTGATGACACTAGGGTAGGGAGGGAGTGATATAAATAAAACAGAAATGATAATCCAAGTATTTACCAGTACTTATCCAACAGTACAAATCATATTAATTGAGAAATATGGACAGATAGCTTGAAAATAACACATCTTTGTACTGGCTGAATCTAAATAATCATAAACAGAAACACAGAATATGAAAGCTATGCGCTTAATAGAATACAGAGGAAAGTAGACTTAAACCTGAATATTATTTACATTGTACAGTGTACATTTTCAATATCCAATCTGTAGATTAGAAACTAGACATTAGTCTATCACACCAGTTGGCCGAGCTGCTCTACTGCAAAATAAAGACATAACACAGTCATGTGACTTAAGTGTACAAATCAGGTGATCAAAAGTAACTGTCAGGTGATGTATGAAGTTGCATTTTCATTCTGTCTGCTTTAATTCTGTGATCGATTATTTTTGCTCCCTTTTCATTGTTTGTTTACATGCTGGTATCATCATGTATTTACAAGGGCACACAATTGGAGCAGAAAAAGCCTACCAGTAATCCTGCTACTCCAAACAATAATGTAACTAATGATATTGGTGATGTCATACATACAAACAAACAAACAAACAATAAACATCAGTTGAAAAAAAACTTTTCAAAGATTTCATTTTACTAACACCAGTTTTACTGCTTGTAGTCTTTCTATTACAACATGAGAGATTTTCTCCTACTCTCCAAACACGCTGTATTAAATAAACATGTCATCCATATAATACTTGTCACCAGTGTTGGACATTTTGCTATTTTGTAATACAATTACCAGTTGTACATGTATATTCATCAATATTATAAAATTTGGAATAAAAAGTGCCTCTTCTTATTATGAAATGAATTTTAAATGAATCTATCTCTGGTCACCTATAGAAATGATTCAAGCATGTTTTAATAGATATACTCACTGATTGATATAAAACAAACCTTCAAATGGCCCAATAATATTTGTATCTAATGTATCTCTAACAGTTAATATAATATTGTATGGTTAATAATAAAAGAAATGATAGCATGTTACAAAAGAAAAGATATATTACAGGGTGAATGTTTTCGAGTTCAGTGTTAATTCAGTGGTCTGTCTCAAAAAGAGTTGCGATCAATTCTAATTGATTGCTAACTTAATATCAGATATTGTAAGAGCACAGTCACACCAACATGACTAACTCCATCCCGATAACAGACCAAACAAGAACTTGGTTTGGAGTCAGTTTGGAGTCGGTTTGGCGGTGTGACTCAAGTATAAACACAAGATAGAATTTAAGTTTGCAATCAAATTGGGGGACTTGCAATCAATTTCTAATGATTGCAACTCATAATGCAGGGCCTAAAGTGTGATGAACGTGTGAATTACAGGTAAGTAAACACTGGAAAAGTTATTTTTGTGCTCCTAATAACAATGTAGCCGTAATTGATGACCAACGATCTTGTGTATACCTGCTTACATACATGTATAACCAACATTTATTAATTTTAAATTTACTAGTCAAAACATGATCACACCAATGACTGTAACTGAAAGTTATTTTGATCTTTCAAAAATTTGATTGCAAAGTTGTCTGAAAAATTTCTTGTAGAAGTTTTGGCATAAAACTGCAATGTTGTGAATTAGCATACATGTAAATCCATTACAGAATATTACAGCTAACATCGTAGCAGACACCTAACACTATTATGTAACACAGAGCTTGAAAACGTTGAGAATGTATGAATAGTCAGTCTCACAGGTCTTCTACATAGTTTGCAGGGTAGAGCCCTTCCACGTCTCCTACCTTCCCTCTGCACCACCCTTGCTCATCTTCATCCTCTAGCTTCAAAAACACAACACCTATATGACAGAGAGAGAGAGAGAGAGAGAAAGAGAGCAAGAGGGAGGAAGAGAGAGAGAGAGAGAGAGAGAGGCAGAGAGAGAGAGAGAGAGAGTACGAGAGAGAGAGCACGAGAGAGCAAGAGAGAGGAAGAGAGAGAGTACAAGAGACACAGATAGAGATACACAGACATATACAGAGAGAGAGAGAGAAAGGCAGAGAGCAAGAGAGAGAGGGAGAGAGAGAGGGAGAGGGAGAGAGAGAAAGAGAGGAAGATAAACAGACATATACAGAGAGAGAGAGAGAGAGAGAGAGAGGAGAGAAAGGCAGAGAGCAAAAGAGAGGAAGAGAGAGAGAGAGAGAGTACAAGAGAGATACAAAGACATACAGAGAGAGATATATAGAGAGATAGAGAGTACGAGAGAGAGAGAGAGAGAGAGAGAGAGAGAGCATATGAAATTGCAATATGAGTGAAGGCGTAATGTATAAAATTGAACCACAACAAAATTACCAGGTATTCTAATGTAAAAGCTTAAGAAGTATGAAGAAAATAAAGGGCAACATAAAACCCTGTTTATAGGCTGCACATGGAACAAAGTCTGACTTGAGTTCCATACAAGCCCTATTCCCTATTCTTACATGTAGTACTCATAATAACAATACTAGCAGTGGTAATAGGAGTAAAATTAATACTAATAATCAATAATAATACTACTTCATGTACTAGAACTTCTCATATTACCACTACTGCTCCTGCTACTACTACAGAGCTGCCAACCTTGTGCGACCAAAATAAGGAATCATGATGGCCAAAAAAAGGAATTTCAAGCAAAAAAAAAGGAATTCATCAAAACGAAACTTACAACCACGCGCGACACACTTCCAATGCAGAAATGTTCATTCATCATGCTGTTTTTTCCATACAAGCAGGTAATTTTTTTTGGTGGTTATTTTGGTATTATCGGCATTTCATTTTTTTGGATAATATTTTTCTCTTCAAGTATGTTTTAAAATTAGTTTTCTATTGAATTTGTGATAAAATCACCATTTTAGGGCAGTTGTTTGATGTGCGGTATGAAAGAAAAAAAGAAAAAAAAGTATTTTATAAAGAAAAAACGTTATACCGTAATTTGGAGGAAAAAACAGAGTAATTCCGGCAAAAACAGAATGATTGGCAGCTCTGCTACTTTTAGAAATAATAATAACAATAATGGTAATGATAATAATACAAATGATAATCTTCTGGTCTGTTTGGAGCCAGAAGGGTATTGACTGATAAGGTAACACCCTTCTGGCTGGCTCCAAATGGACATGATAATGATAGGCTTCGTACCCGACTTGAAAGAGAGCTCATCTGCCTCGACACCCACGTAGTCGTATAGCGCCCTCACCTCTACACCATCTTTCTTCCCTACCCCACCATCGTCTTCATCGTCGTCATCATCAAAGGGTGTGTGGCTCGCTTCCTGGTTACTTCTGTCATGGACAAGGACAATGCAATAGGGGGTCTTACTAACAATATTACGCAGACGGGGTGCAAATTTACACCCCTCAAAGGACAATGCAATAGGGGGTCTTACTGCCAATATTAACAGAAGGGGTGCAGTTTTACACGCCCCGAAGGACAATGCAATAGGAGGTCTTACTACCAATATTAACAGAAGGGGTGCAGTTTTACACGCCTCAAAGAATAATGACATTTGGGGTCTTACTAAATCAAGCAGAAGGCATGCAGTTTTACATCCTTCAGATTCTTTTTTTCTTTGCTGTGTTTTTCTAATCTTCCTTTATTTAAGGGGGTTGGAGTTGGGGAACGACCAAGTTATAAATAAAATGCTTTTACATAAGAAAAGATAGAAGGTCTCCCTACCAATACTAAGAAAAGGGGGTGTAGCCCAATACCCCTATAATGCCTATACATGGGGTAAGACTTATTACATACGATAAGTATAAATATTATTTCTATCATTAGGGGGTTATACTACCAGTACCAGACCGAATAGTGTAGCTCTACACCCCTTTAAGAGCCATCTTTGTATCATTGGGGGGGTATACTACCAATAGCAGAGGGAAACAGTGTAGTACTGCACCCCTATTAGAGCTATTTTTGTATCATTAGGGGGTTATACTACCAATACCAGGGGCAGTGTAGCACTACACCCCTATAAGAGCTATTTTTGTATCATTAGGGGTTTATACTACCAATACCAGAGGGATAGGTGTGGCTCTTCACCCCTATAATAATACCTAGATTTTTACGATTAGCTTGGCATAGAATGATGGAGAGCTAATAAGGGGGTCCCACTACAATTTCCAGTGGATGGGGAGGGGGTAGTTTTACACCCTCTTAAGAATAATTATTCTAAGGATGATGGAAACAAACAACTATAATATGATTGCAAAGACTCTCAGAAATCAACCTGAGGCAGATTCACTAGGCTTGTGCATCACATTTTCAGATGTGTGAACATGACAATGACTTTATAATCCAAACATTATATTTTTAAGCAATATAACAGGGTATATCAAATTGCCCTCCAGTCCATTCCCTGAAGTCTTTGTAACTGTGTTAAAATTAATAATATATAGTTTTTAATGAAGAATTCAAGACATTTCCTGTTTTGTTTTAAATAATAAAACAAACAACAAAAATACATATACATTATCCATGATTAGTACACATCAAATGGGTTATGTTAAATGTTGGTATTAGATGGTGTGCACTGCAATGGTTTGTATTAGTAGAGTTGTATTTGCTTATAAGTGTTTGCTGATACAATGTAGTTACATTATCATTAGCATTATTCGTTAGTCAATGTTAGTGAGGAAGAAAACGCTGTTTATTAGCACATCACCAAGGTTACGTGCATCTACATTTCTCATCAAATGCCAAAGACTCAAATACTTTTCAAAACCGTGCGTAAAGCTTGCAAGTAATTACATATTCCCATGACAACGATCATTCCACACCATGCACTTATGATGATGCTACATGAACAACAAATCATATGTAAGGAAGACTTGATCGTCATAGTGCATTGAGAGCAAGAAGGATGCTTACTCATCTCCTTGATATAAAGCAGAGTTAACACCCTTTTGTGGCTCAGCATAATTAACAATTCTTGCTCATGCCAATACATCAATCAAATGGAATATTTGTTTAATCGTCAAGACATCATACTGTATCTTCTTTCTTTCTTATTACAACAGAAACAACTTAAGGTTCTTCTGGCTCTCCTCTTGTAATCATTGCTAGTTATTTTTATTTCCTCAACTCTCAATACGTGCTTGACTCCTTGATTAAACCATCAAATGAAAAATAAAAATGAATTTACAAAACTGGTGTTAGAATATGAGAAAAGCAATGAAAGCTTTGAAAAGTTCATTTGAACTTCTTTCTCAGAAGCACCAAGATGAACTAAAGAGAAAATGTGGTATTTTTCTTAATTTTTCTTCAATTGTTATCTGTTAAACATTTCTGTAACTGTTATCCTCATCTGAATTGAATGAGGGAAAACAAAGCATCTCCACCAGAGTCAGTGGTCTGTAAGATCCAATTGATATTTGAAGCTGACATAATCCATAAGTGGGGCAGTCAAATTTAACAACACATCCATTGCCTAAAAAATAGCTGTACCACTATCCTATCAACAGAAAGAGAGAAAGAGGCAGAGAGAGAGATAAAGAAAGAGAGAGGGAGAGAGAGAGAGATAGAGAAAGAGATAGAGGTAGAGAGAGAGAAAGAGGTGGAGAGAGAGAAAGAGAGAAAGAGGTGGAGAGAGAGAAAGAGAGAAAGAGGTGGAGAGAGAGAAAGAGAGAAAGAGGTGGAGAGAGAGAAAGAGAGAAAGAGGTGGAGAGAGAGAAAGAGAGAATGAGGTGGAGAGAGAGAAAGAGAGAAAGAGGTGGAGAGAGAGAAAGAGAGAATGAGGTGGAGAGAGAGAAAGAGGTGGAGAGAGAGAAAGAGAGAAAGAGGTGGAGAGAGAGAAAGAGAGAAAGAGGTGGAGAGAGAAAGAGAGAAAGAGGTGGAGAGAGAGAAAGAGAGAATGAGGTGGAGAGAGAGAAAGAGAGAAAGAGGTGGAGAGAGAGAAAGAGAGAAAGAGGTGGAGAGAGAGAAAGAGGTGGAGAGAGAGAAAGAGAGAAAGAGGCGGAGAGAGAGAAAGAGAGAAAGAGGTGGAGAGAGAGAAAGAGAGAATGAGGTGGAGAGAGAGAAAGAGAGAATGAGGTGGAGAGAGAGAAAGAGAGAAAGAGATGGAGAGAGAGAAAGAGAGAAAGAGGTGGAGAGAGAGAAAGAGAGAAAGAGGTGGAGAGAGAGAAAGAGAGAATGAGGTGGAGAGAGAGAAAGAGAGAAAGAGGTGGAGAGAGAGAAAGAGAGAAAGAGGTGGAGAGAGAGAGAGAGAGAAAGAGGTGGAGAGAGAGAAAGAGAGAAAGAGGTGGAGAGAGAGAAAGAGAGAAAGAGGTGGAGAGAGAGAGAGAGAAAGAGGTGGAGAGAGAGAGAGAAAGAGGTGGAGAGAGAGAGAGAGAGAAAGAGGTGGAGAGAGAGAAAGAGAGAAAGAGGTGGAGAGAGAGAGAGAGAAAGAGGTGGAGAGAGAGAGAGAGAGAAAGCGGCAGAGAGGACAAGAGAAACTGAAAGTAAGAATTAAGCATACTTTGATTATTTATCATGAAAAAATAATAATCATATATCGCAGCTAGTATTATATTGATTTAAAATATAGATATAAGATATCAATATAAATATAGACATGTATATACATTTTGTTTGAGGGCCAAGGCAGTGACTTTAATTAACTTCTTTTCTTTTTTACCAATTTGCTTCTTAATCATAAATTTAGCTGCATCTTGAAAGAATTATTACTAAAGAAATACAAATCGATCTTACTAGAGATATTAGTTCCACTCACATCAAATGATAATTAAATAAATAAATATTTGTCCTTCCACTACATCACATATAAAGCATTCAACACATTGTTAGCAACTGTAAGATAATCATAATATAGTGCGTAAATATAGTTATCCCAATATAATCTATGCATAGATGCATTGATCTGAGCTGCAATGCATTCTGGGTATGTTAGTAGGCAAGCATCACACTTGTACCACCAGAGGAAGAAGATTCGACACAGAAGAATTTCAAAGAAAAAAGAGCCACAAATTTTGAGGAGAAAAAGAGCTGCATCCATAGGAGGGGGATTTAAGTCTTATTTACAAATACCATGTTAAACCACCTAAAAAATGAAAAAATATGCATCAGCACAATATGCATTGTGCAGGCTTCATACTGTTGTATCTCCTAACACACAGATAAATCATTAAGATCAACATTCATTATGCGAGCTACATTTTTTTTCCAGCTCCATTTCTCTTCATATCCTTCCTATATCCCATGTACAGTAGTATGACCTTGTATGTGTCCTGTTCACCGAGGACACACTTTTTGTGATATAATACAGCAATAAATAAGGAATACAGTAATTAATGAAATTTCAAAGAACGATATAGAGAGGGGAGATGGATTTGAGAATTTAAAAACAGATTTTACAAAGGTATTTGGGGTTTCGTGCAATGTCAGATTATTTGAAAATGCATCTGATGAAAGCGACATGTAAACGGGCATTAACTCAATACAATACTACACACAGAAAACACAGTTAATGCCTGTTTGGCTCTAGGCATACGAGATAAGGTCAAGATAAATGAATGCTTTATTCTAGGTACTATAGTGAATCTAGCTAGCTCCTCTCACAAGCAGAATTTCTGACATAGCACTACCACTAGGAAGGAAAAAACAAAGAAACAGAGTGGAGAGAGAAACAGATAAAGGACGATGGGATAGAAAGGGTGCTCTGACAATCATTACGAAGACGTCAATTGCCCCAGGCTTGGTTTGGTCAAAGGTACAGGGTTAGGATTAGGATTAGGATTAGGATTAGGATTAGGATCAGGATTAGGATCAGGATTGCAATTGGGTTTCAAGTTGAGTTTCAAGTTAGGTTTAGAGATAGGTTGAAGGTTAGGTATAGCAATGTAGGCAGGGGTGTAGAAAATCTATCCGCAGGTTGCATGTGTCGTACAACTCTAGAAAGAGCAACAGATTGGGGGGAGGGGGAGAGAGAGAGAGAGAGAGAAGAACTAATTTTCTTCTGTCGGGCAAGCAGAACTTACCCAAAGTCGTAATCGGAATGTTGATAGTACCCAGGGTATGACTGTGAGCTGTTATGACACAATCACACATAAACAAACAAGCATACAAACAAACAAACAAACATACAGACGACAGACAAGTACACACATATATAAGAGATGAAAAGGGGAGAGAGAGATGAAAGAGAGATGAAAGAGTGATAAGGAGAAAAGAAGTGACAGGAGAACGATGAATAGAATTTATAGCAGCAAAATGAGAGAACAAAATCATGATATAAAGATAAATCCAAGTTAGAGAAATAATAATAATAGAAAAAAATTAGAAATAAATAGGAAAGAAGAGGGATAGCGGACATCATTAGTATAGATTACAAATAAGAAAAAATATGATGAAAATAAGACATAACAGTGATACACAGAGACAGATGAAGATGTAGAGATATGGATGAATAAAGAGAAAGGGGGAGGGACAGATAGAGAGAAAATAAGAGGGAGAGGGGGAGAAGAGAAGACATGAAACAACACAAAATGACCAACACAAACAAAATGACAACCCAAACATACACACAAGCATTGGAAAGAAAGGAATAAAATATGTGGATTTGGATAAACAGTGATTATTATCTCATCATAGCACCACCATCGTAGGCTTGGAGTTACCCAGCTATGCACCTTCAACTGATTTACACAAACAAACATAGAACACTCAGTGATTGGCTAAAAGTGATATGATGATGTCATGTTTCCATTGTCATTCAAATCATAAATCATGCATAATTCATGAGATATCATGATTGAGCATTATGTGCTAAAGGTGACTGTAACTATTGAAAGAAACAAAAAATGTTCATGAAAATTTACTGAAAAGATATGAAATCAATCTAAATGAAAAAGAACACTGAATGAAAACTTTGGGGTCTTAGAATTTAGCAGTAATTCTAAATGACACAAAATATATCTAAATGTGAATGATTTTTTTTTAAATGGGCAGATGGCAGAGCAAAATCATAAATTGTTGCCTTGATCAATTTTAAGATGTTTATTCCTGTGCACTATCATCAGTGAAAAATGTGACCAAAAAAAGACAAAGTGTCAAAAAGCATGCAGAAAGATAAAATTGCACAATTATTGCAACAACAGGTATTTTTTTTAAAGGTGCTAGGGCATTTTTGAAAAGACATCTTTGTTTGAATTGCACATAAATCTATAAACTAACATTAGATATTCACTGGAATGTACAACAGCAATTAGAATAATCATATCATTTGATAGATGTCAAGTTGTCAACAATACCTTTAACAATTCACAAATATCAGTATTTCTCACATTTTACTAAAAAGTGAGAAATTAGTGACCCAATGTCAAAGCAAGCACCTCCAAACATGAAAATATCACGACATGTGATTAAGTTTTTAAACTCTCTCTTACAATAAAAAAAATTAATGGAATAGCAAACAATTACAAATACATCTAAAATGGTTTAAACCTCTGATTAAAAAAACAAAGGAAAAAAATAGAAATACAATGTATGACATCAAATGCATTTTATATACACTTGGTTTATGTTGATCACTATTATCATTCAGTGAAGACATTCAGTGTAAATTGGTAAGTCAAGAAATACCTAAAAAAAAACCTCCCTGAACCTGTATTGATAATGCTATAATCAAATCTCATACATGACATTCCAAGCTAAGAGAACCAGATGGACGTTGAATCGTTCTAAAGAAAAATAATCTTATGCCTTTCTGGTAGCTATACAACAAAAAGAGTTTATTATTTACAATTTCATCACTTTAGACTCAATTTCAACCGCGACAATGATCATGGAATATTGTAGGATCGCATTCATATGTTTACAATATGTTCATTTGAACCAAATTCATGACCCGTACCAAAACTTTGTAATACCTTTAATGTATTTAGCAACAGTGAATAACAATCATGGAGAGGAGAATTTCAACTCATATGATGTATGAGTAATGAAAAAACAAGAGTGAAATAAAGTTTTAAAATGTGGCTGGGTAGAAAAAGATATTGAAAGGGGAAAAATGAAAAGTGCAACACAAGAAGAGTGGTTGAATAACTCTTTAGAAAATGGATTCCATTATCCATTTCCATGGATTTAACAAGGAAATCATCAAAATCAGTGCAGTAGTCATTCATGTGCAGCTGCTAACTTACAAGAGGATTAAAACTTTAATGCATTTGGAAATCATTTTCTGAAGATACACTCTTTCCTCAGTGACAGTGCTCATGCAGCAAGATACATCATTAAGCTCAGTGCAGTGTTCATCTTGTTTTACAGGCAAACCAGACTTGTCATTCGAGAGATCACAATTTTCTTAGATGCCAAGTTTCCTCATAACAATGCTTCATGCAAAACCAATGAAAACAAAATCATAAAGCTCAATGCGACAGACTGAGCTGACATATGCTCTGCCGAAAATTTGCCCCTGGCTTTCTTCCATCTATATAGGGGTAGTGCTGCTGTTGCAATTAGGTTTAGGGTTAGGTGTAGTGTTTATTCTAGGATGGAAGTTATGAATTTGGGTAGAGTAGGAAACAGATTTTTGTAATGTAACCAAATCTCATGCGTACATCTTTGTAAAGAAAAGAAGAAAACAAAAATATATTTATATTTCAATAGTAGGAATGTGATTTGCATACATTAGTTGTTGCCAGGTAGGACAAACATCATGGCTTGTCCGACCAGACAACACATAATATCGTCGCTGTTTTCACGAAGTGACGGTAGTGAAAAAAAATTGCATTCACTTTGCGTTACGATTTTCCTCACTACCGTCACTTCGTGAAAATAGGGACGATATATGCATTTGCATTCTGACTATTAAAATACATTTATTCATTACAGGTGAATGAAATACTTGTATTGAGGCACTTAACAAAGACGTATGCATTAAATTTGGTTACATTACATAAATGGTCTTTTGACGAGAGCAACTGTCGCCAGAGTTTGAGTCCTTTAACTCATCAGCCATTGAGTGTAGGAGGAAAGCCTTCAAAGGGAATAAAACTCACGGAAGTTCTCCATCAGATGCAAAGTCTCCTAAGGTACATGCCTCGTGCAACAAAGCAAAAATATCCTAAAGCTTGATGAAACAGGCATCTCATAAAGGGGAGTGGAAACCGTCTATTAAAGTTCTACACGATTTTGTCATCATTTTTTAAAGTGTAGTTTCCTCCTGACAATGTCTCAGCCTCATGCAGGTGTTTTTTTTCAAATCAAAGAAAATTAAATCAAATCATAAAACTTGGTGCAGCAGTCTTTAAATAATAAGCAGAATCAAACTCTTTGGAATGCTAATGTCGTTTTTGTGACATTGTGGGGATGATCTTTCTTTTGAGATGCCAAGTTGCCATGACGACAGGAGGAACGAACTCACCGGTTTGAGGGTAGGGATGAGGAAGAGGAATTGCTATTTATTTCAGGGTAGAGAGTGCAGGTCAAGGAACCGTTTCGTCGAGGGGCTGGGGTAGGTTTGAAGGGTTTTCTTGCGTCGCTGTCGTACGCTGTTTCATCACCCAGCGAGCTGGGCATCAGTAATCAAGATTTATACAGGGAAACAATTATATGAATAGAAAGTTGCGTTTGTAAAATTTAATCTAATTTAATATTTAATACTTGGATTAAATATTCCCTACCAAGTACCCCTATTTTATAAAAGGAAACAATGATAATAATCATTATAATTATATTTAACTGTATTCACATAGTGCATTTTCAAGGTAGACATTGAAATGGGCTAACGATGATGTCATTAAAAAGATCAGTGAGCTTTGAGAGAAAGCTAATTGTGGAGAATCAATTAAGCTTACGCTTTAATATTATTTTATTACTTCACACTCGAATTAATAAGTTTCCTACCCAGTGATTTATCAGTTGGAGCTTACAAAAGCATGTTACAGAGAAAAATAATGGAAGGAACTGTTTTTGAACTATCAGCATTTGTGAATAAGTACATATGTAAGGAGTATTAAAGAGCAAATAGTAATTTATATGATATACACTTGAGATCATAAAAACTAAAATCTATTATAACAGACAAAGTTATCATTTGATCCTTTGGTTTCAATGATGGTAATGAATCTCTCATTTGTTTTCCTTAAAACCCTATTTCAGCGTGATCAAAACAGTGATTATTTAGTTTGGGTTTCCATCTACAAATGGGTTAGACTGTGGAGAAGATGAACTCTATCGCAATGCAATCAAATGCAGTTTTAGGTCTCATTTAATTCTGGATCATCCGTACATGACTTTACATTCAGAAAGCTGCATCAAGTCCAAGACACAATGTAGCCCAAACATGGTCGAGCAGCGTACATGTAGCCTAAACATGGTCCAACAAGCACAGGCCCTATGTCATGGAACTACAAGACCAAGACCAAGACCACATACAAACTCTAAATGCATTACATTGCCATGGAGATGAGAGGTAACTGTCTGCACATTGCAACTACTCAACATGGGCCTCTGCAAAGCGCTAACTAATCTACGGATATGCAAAAATGAAGATGGTCATAATCTGGGCAATGTTGCTTTGATACATGGCTAGGCTAAAGGTTGACTTTTGATCTACCGGTAACATTTATTTTCAAATGTTGAATATTAATCAACAATCTTTCACTTTCTTACACAGATATTTGCTGGCAGGGTGTGTAATTTAACAATTTTTGGACTGCCAAAGGGGGTGCATTTTCCAAAGGGAAAATAACTCCCTTGCTGTCCCAAAATGTTATATTAGGGAGGAGGGGAGAAGTAGGGGAGGAAGAGGGAAGGGGAAGGGGGAAGTGGAGGGGGAAGAGGGATGGGAAGGGGGATAGGAGGAAGGGGGAGGGGGAGGGAGAAGGGGGAAGGGGGAAGGGGGGAGGGGGATAGGGGGAAGGGGGAAGGGGGAAGGTGGAAGGGGGAGGGGGATAGGGGAAGGGGGAGGGGGATAGGGGGAAGGGGAGGGGGATAGGGGGAGGGTGAAGGGGAGTGGAAATGGAGAGGCAAGGCAGGGAAATGAGGGTGGAAAAGGATGGGCAAGGCAGCTAAGTCACAATGCAAATGTTGTAGATGTAAAAAGGTGTCTTTACGTTATGAAGAACAATCTTGCAGTCTCATAGGATAATTTATCATGTCCGGACGATGAGCAGGTAGATAATCTATTCCTATACAAAGGAGTGGGGGGAAAAAGCACATCAAACAGGGATGGGTAAAGCTTTATTGAAGTATGGTTTAAACTTGTAGTCGGGTAAAATTCTGGAAGACAAACATGTGTAAACCACACTGTAGTTTATATACAGTAGGCTTGCGGGTGAACCATGTGAGAGAGAGAGAGAGAGAGAGAGAGGATTGAGGAGTCCTGATCTACACTGTAGCTCATCTAAAAGAAGCATTAAAAGCAAATGGGTTTTATACATGTATGAAGTATAGCCTGAGAGCAAAGCTAAGCTGAGAGTGTCCACACTATTCCTGTTATACGAGTAGCGAAGCATGTCTGAACACAATCCCACATCCCCCATGCACTGTGTATCTATCAAGCCATTGGTCTCACTACTACAAGCCGAATCGTATTCTAGTAGAATCTGAATGAGGTCTCTATAGAACTATCAGCCAAACGCCATGTAATGATGACAAACATGTAACCTACTATCAATTCTTATTACTAGACACTTTTTATTGCTAGACACGCACACAGATAATCCAGTCAATGAAAAAGATAATTCTACATATGAATACAAACATGTATCACATCCTGTCTCCTGCACACACATACACCAGGGACCCGTTTCACAAAGCCTTTTTTCAATGACAAATGACAAAAATTAGTGACAAATCTGCTGATAACCAATCAGAAGCAAGGATTTTAGGAGCTTATAACAAAAACTGTCATTTGTCACTGATGAAAAGTTTTGTGAAATACCCCCCCCCCCAGGAAAGAGTTTATACTTTGTCTGTAGAGCTAGAAGAGCGTTCACTTTGCCTCAAAGTATATGAGTCTCTAATAACGCCCTTATACCCCCAAACAGACAACTTCTCTTAAAGTCATCTGATAGTCTACTCAAACATACAGTGCACACCAAATCCTACAAACTATACAGACATATCTTGAATAAATTGTAATTATTCAGTTACATATGTGAATGATGGGACTTGGGGGGGGGGGGGTTGGGTATCACGGTTCATTAGAAACTACAACCAAAAAAGGAAAAGAACATCACATTCTCTAATATCTATGTATATAAAAAAGTAACACCATGTACATCTGTAATTAGTTATAACTACGTGTAAATCACTATCATCACCAATATATATCACCAATCTACAACTGAGGAGATACAAGTATATGTATAACACCATGCAAACTGGTACATGTAGTAAGCTACACTACATATCGTCTGTTGAGCCCTTCTGGCTCCAAACAGATTCTAGTCAGGTCATATCAAAGGTCATATCAAAGGTCAAGGGTCAAATGTTAAATGCCTGACCTTGACTGGCTTCCCTGGGGCTCATCTTCCCAGCCCTGGTAGTGGGGCCACTTAAAATCAGGTCTGGGGCTACTACCGGACGTGGGCGGACTAGCACTACTGGGATACGTCCAAATATGGATGGAGCATGTCCATATATGGGAGCAACATGCCCAAATATGGATATAATAATACATCCAAAACACACAGAAGCAACATATCCAGATAAGGAAGTATAACATCCAAATAAGGTAACAGTACATCCAAATATGGAAGCAACAAATCACAATACCAGTACAGGTGTAACGTATCCAAGACACAAGGTATTATGTTCAAATAAGGTAGGGATATATCCAAATATGGAAGATACATATCCAAATATAGACACAAGAAAACAGAATATGGGATAATATATTTGCAGAGCGATGGGGATAATTCATACCCAAACATCATAAACAAGAAGTTTTGAGGTTATATGGATTGGGGCAGGAGAGGGCCACACATGAGGGTGGGAGGGGAGGGGGTTGTATATCAATATCAATTATACAAACAGGGGCATACAAGGGGGAGTATTTCAATTATTCATAGTTTTATCCAGGAAACAGAGAGTTCATCAGGTGTAAAGATAAGCCGTAACAACATTTTCAGTTAAAAATTTGTACCAAAACCATGGCACATTGGGGAAAATGGTGGAATTTATTTGGGAATAGATTAACAGGAAAGTGCAATATATTTGATTTTCAAAGTTTTTATTTTGGTAATAAATAAAAATACAGAATATAAATAAACAAACAAAATCACAATAAAAACAATAAAGCAAGAAAGGTGTACAAAGATATTTTAGATAGTTCATTAAAAAAAAAAATTAAGCAAGAATACAGTCATCACATTGTATCAGATTGACACCATTTTAAACAAACAAATGAAAAAAACAAAAACAATACAAGGAAAATAGTTTACATAATCAATTCCAAGGAATGCGAAAGAGAGAAATAAGAAAGATAAAAAAATAAAAAAAGATTAGAAATAACTTCAAATTAATTAATTCAAAAAAGATAATCTTTATTTTTAGACTGGCATCAGAGCCATTTACAGGTCTGGGGATTTTTTCTTTTTTTAAGTCTAGTAAAAAGAATTTCACAAATAAATAATAGTAATAATAATGATAAGATCGATTTATATACAATGTAGCATAGCTTTTATAAAAATATAATCTACTGCCCTGTGATGAAAAACAAATACTCCTAACAGTACTACTTTACAGACAAACGATGAAAATAAAAACTATTCAAAAGCTCCTGAAAACAAGTGCATCAGTCGTCTTCATCAAAACTTTACAGACAGCAACAGACAAGGCTTTCTTATGTCTAGAGGTAGATTATTTCAAAGCTTTGGAGCTTGTGCCTGAAAAATACACTGTGTACATAAGCTGAACATGACTGGGTTGTCATAGGTAGTATCATGCCAAGATTTGACTGGATGCCAGAGCTTTATCCCTTGGCCAGGACATTGACTTACCCCTGGTGATCCCTTAGCTTATAGGGGAATTCCCCTGAATCCCTGGGGATTACCCTAAACTACAATTGATGTAATATGATGTCATCAATGAATGAAATCACTTGCTCAATACTCTATAAATTTGATCTGGTTAATCTTGGATGGACTAGACTTAAACTGAGAAGCCTCGATTGCACGGTGATAGAATCTAAAAATAGAATTTAGGCAATATCAAATACTACATGCATATCAGTGCCAAGACGAGACTAAAGAGAGATATGTGTTTGAGAGCACTGTGATGTCATAACTGAATGGGCTACCGGTTCCTGACATCACAAAGTTACTGAGTAAAGTAGAAAGCTGTACATTGAGCCATTGCTGTGGCGGCATGATGGCTCAGTGGTACGGCAGTGGTCTCATACATGGGAGGTCCCAGGTTCAAAACAAAATTGATATTCTAATGTACTTTGGTAAGGCATTAAGCATCATTATTAAGTCCCTAAGAGTGAACTTGAAGCCCTCGGTCCACTGGTTCCTTACTAAAGCATACACATGCTTTCTTAGCAGACCAGTAAAACAAACAAACCAACCAAGCCAAAATACTACAAGCAAACCAGTCCCAAATTGAATCTTCGGATTGACTAGACTAAACAGAGAAAATGTTGAAGAGCACCATTGATGTCATTTGGAAACAGAATCACAGTCCCCACTATCAAAATTATTTGTGTAGTATAACGCTGTACAATAAAGGATCCATCTCAAAAGGTTGCACCATGATATTGCATCAGCACTCAAAGAGCAAAGACCAAAGAATACAGGGATGAACAATTTCCAACAGGTAGCTTCAATAGCCAGGGCCTCAACACCTATATACATTTGTGTTTTGTTGTGTTTTGTATTTATTTCTTGGATTCTACTGAAATATTGGCATCTGATTGGCTGGGAGCAAAGTTGTCATAGAAATGTAGCAATTGTTATTGCTAACAAGTTTGATGAAACAGGGCCCACATTCAAACTTTCCTCCATTCTAGAATGTCAACATTTCAATAGAAAAAGAGGCTCAAAAGAAGCTCCATGACTCTCTGCAGCTGAGCACAAAGAACACCAAGTGGAAATCAACGTCCAAAAGAACTACGGTATGACTTTCATTCTTGACTTTACCGGCACACTGGAAATGAACTATATGTGTAACTTGTAAAGAAATCTTTTGGGTTGGACCTAGCAAGTAAAGACCGTGAGTTTCATCCTGTAATTGAAAACAAGTAAACAAAATATTGGAACCAGCGGGATCTGAAGAATAATAATAATAATATTCAGCTTTTATATAGCGCTTAATACATCTCGGACGTCTATAAGCGCTTTATATATATACTATTACCCCAGTCATTGGATTCAGTGCTTGCTCGCACAAACTGTGTGCACAATCTCCACTCCCTGGGGAGCATTACAGCCAGGAAGCGACTCAACCACCAGGCCATCACTGGTCCATGTCATGAACTGGAAACACATGCCTCATCTCTCCTGACTCATTCAGACTTATTAATATTCATCAGTCCGCCATTGGGACAATAGCTGTGAATATTAGGCTTCCTGGGAGACGTTTCAATGGTTGTAAAGAACTTAAGAAGGACCTGTGATACCAGATTGAACGGCCTTCTGGCTCTCAGTAGATCATCTATTTCTCCATGACACCCACACAGCTAACTCTAAAGTTGCACATGACCTGGGGGGTGTTCCACAAAGCCTTTTTTCAATGACAAATCTGCTGATAACCAATCAGAAGCAAAGATTTCGGTAGCTTAAAACAAAAACTGTCATTTGTCAGTGAAACAGGTCCCTGGGCAGCATTTCATGAAACCATCATAAGTACAAGTTCACCGGAATCCCATTGAAACGCGTGTTAAACTTAATACATGCATTACGCTAGGATGTCGGTGAACTTGTACGTATGACGGTTTCTTTAGACGCTGCCTAGGGTGATATTTCTCTGAGCCACAATTGTCATAAAGATATAATTCCTGGTTCCACTTTGATGGAATACAAATACTTTTATCCCTAAAGAATACACTAGATATAATAATAATAATATTGGATATTTATATAGCGCACATATCCACCCTGCAACGTGCTCAAAGTGCTCCAAGATTTCCCCGGCTCTGCTAGGCTACCGATTTTGATGCTCACAGCATTCAAGGAATCCCTTCCTACTGTATATATGTATGAAAGCATCCAGATAGATGAGACAAAAAGAAAGACACAGCCAGAGAAGAGGGGTATACACAAGCTGTAAAACTTAAAACTTTTGTGTGCATGAAACGTTCGCAAATTTCGCGAGTGAATCAGATCTTCGAAGTGTCAAGCACTAACAAAACATTTTGTATTTTTCATTTATAGGCAAAAGCGAGAATTTAATCTCATTTGGCACAAAATAAAATTTCTTAATAACATTTTTGTGTTATTTCATTTATTGGTGATAGCGAGAATTTAATCTCATTTGACACAACATAAAAAAAGTTATTTAAATTGTTGTATTTTTCATTTATTGGCAATAGCGAGAATTTTAACTCATTTGACAAAACATAGAATTTTTGCTTTAAATTTTTAATTTTTTATTTATTGGCAATTGCTAGAATTTAATCTCATTTGACAAAACATAGAATTTTTGCTTAAAATGTTTTAATTTTTTATTTATTGGCAATTGCTAGTATTTAATCTTATTTGACACAACATAAGATTTCTCAATAAAACTTTTGTATTTTTCATTCATTGGCAATAGGGAGAATTTAATCTCATTTGACACAACATTACATTTTTGCTTAAAATTGTGTATTTTTCATTTATTGGCGATAGCGAGAATTTAATCACATCTGACACAACATAACATTTTTTGCAAGTTACAAAACTTTCATGCAGTGAAATTGACCACCACTTCAGTTTCATATCGCAAAATTTTGGGTTTACATAATATAGTGCTAGAAAGAGAGACGAAGAGAGAAGAGAGAATAGGGGGAGAGAAGACAGTTTTTATTAATAGCCACCTTACAAACAAAAACCCCTAGTAAAACCCTTGATTACTGACCCACGTGTTATAATAAACATATCCCCAAAACCCTGGACAGAAAAACCACCAAAACTCTATAAAATGTCCTTTGTATAAAGGTGTTGATTCTCACCTGTCACCTAACCCTTGGTCGTAGTCCTGGTTGGAGTACTCAGAGGTTGATCGGTAGGTGTGTATGGCCACATTCTCCCCACCGGATCCACCTATGTTCCCTTTAGACTTCTTAGAGCTGATGGCATGCATCTCATCCGTGTATTCCTGTAGGCATAACATGTGGTCAAAGACATCATAAAACAAACTTGATGAGAACTGCTACTGTTCACTTAAAGGTTCTGGTCATGTGATCGCATTGTGAAAGAAACATTGTGGAATCGATCAGAAAAGGTTGATCATCTAGCATATAAGTATTGGTGTGTACTGCAAGGTTCTGGAATCATCAAAATGATAAGAAATTTGGCCCAGTCTTGGTAAAGTTAGAATCACTGTACACAAAAAGATGTATATGAGACTACGTGATATCTATCCAGTCTCCGGATAGATATGATAATTTACCAAATATATCAATTAGTAGGCGGTTTCCCGGCAAAATTTGTATCATCACGTAATAGTCAAAACATATTCTTTCACATGATTGGTAATGAAAGCTTCCATTTCATTTTTTGAGAGGGGGTGTTTCCAAAACTGGTCTCTACCTTTAAAGGGGAAGTCCACCCTGATATCAAGTTGGTCTCAATAAAAGCAGGAAAATGAGAGAAACAATTAACCCAAAGTTTGAGCGAAATCCGATTTAAAAAAAGTTAAGGATTGGTAAAGTTGTCATCAGTGAAATTTAGGGTGAATGTATGATTGAACATTTTCTTAAGGAAAAATCTACATTTTTGAAGGTTTTTAGTATCATGTTCTAAAGTTAATAAAATTGTATCATAGTTTTTTTACTACAAATCACGTCCAACTGAGTACCGTAATTAACGGTGTACAAACCGCCCTCGTGTATTAACCGCACCCCTCTTTTTCGCCCTTCAAGCCATGTCCGTGTTAAAAAAACCCATGCGGGAAGGCCTTTCATTTAACTGTGAGGTGCAGCTGAATGTGTAAGATCATTAATGTAAATTATAAGATGATGACATGGAACCTAATCAAATGATTGATTGAAAGCGTACACGTGACCAGGCATTTATTTTGCCTAACGCGTAATCGCGCGTAATTTGGGTAATGACCGGTCATTATCCAATGGTAATGACCGGTCATTATCAAAATCATGTTAGCAAACATTATTTTATAAAACAAATAAAACATAATCTTATAAAACAAATAATACACATCATTTTGTTCGGGCATTAGTAAAATTACCCACACTTGGTACCTTCAAAACAGTCCAAACGCCCTTGGCTATCGCCTCAGGCGTGTTGGACTGTTCCAAAGGTACCTCGTGTGGGTAATTCTTATTAATGCCCTTACTGATGTGTATTATTTGTATATTAAAAAACAGTAGAGGACCTAGGATAGAACCTTGTTGTACGCCGTGTATAATAGAAGAAAAATTGGAGGAATTATTATTATAAACTACATATTGAGATCTATCAGAAAGATTACTTTCAAACCAAGATGACAGACAAATTTGAGTGTTATTCTAGTTTCCGAGTGGTGAGTCAACACACCGATTACTGAGCTGGGAGACATTGCCAGGCATAGCGCCAGGTGGAGGGGAATTAATCGAAAATTTAAAATTTAAAAAAATTAAAAAAAAAAAAAATTAATTACAGTAGGTCCCTATTACAGATGACTATGCTTTGCCTGATAGCTGCAAGGATAACTGGTACCATAGCACCTAGAAACATTAGGCACATTAGAACTGTGTCCTTTCATATTTTAAAGGTACTATGTCTCATTTGCAGCCAACATCAAATTCTGTAGAACATTGCAGGAATTATTAATTTCAGGTATGTCCTATCTGTAAAATTGAAACGTTAGCAGTGTCCTATTATGCAAGGAAAACCGTTTACTTTCTAGACTTTACTGTCAGACACTATTGGGTAACTGACTGACTTTTTTTTTCTTTGGTAATAACATACATAAAATGAGCTGTAAAGGGTACATGAGCATCTGTCTACATAAAAAAAACCAATTCTTGTAATGGCAAAATGAAACTAATTGAATCTTTGCGCAGCACAAAACATACGACCATTTGGTACAATGGTCTGAAAATCATACTATTACTTTAGTGATGGCAATCACTAAAGTCAATTTGACAAACTGGTTATTTTTTCCCACTTATAGACATTTTTAAGCCCTTTTGTTTTGAGGGAAGTTTTAAATTAGTATTATCATTCAATTGCCATTAGAATTTAACTTATTCATTTTTTTGGCCAGAAAATTTGACATAGATCTAGTACCTTTAAAAGGCTAAACTATATTACCTCAAAAACTGGCCAGTTCATGGACATGCCTGTGCCGTTATTGTTCTTCCACCATTTCAAGTCTTTATCTGCGTCAGCATTCTGTAAGGAATTGTGGAAGTCTACGTATACCTGGGCAAAGCTAACGTATCAAACAGAGATGAAAACAAGAGAGAGAAACATGATTATACTAAAAGTGAACAAACATTTTGTGTATGAAGGTTACCCTGTTTGCTCCTTTATACCCTGGCAGCTAAGAGCTGCAATTATTGGATGACATATATGTAACTACAGTCCAACATGTCTACTAAGGCCACCCAAGGGAAACGGAGAAAGTGGCCACCATAGACATATGACCTTTCTAGACAGGTCCTATAACACACATTTCTTCTTTGAAGGAGCCTAAATATATGATCCCTATAGACAGGTTTGACTCTAGATAATAATATATTTTTCAAACTGTTCGTTACTCTATTCTTACTGCTTTATTCAATATTTACAAATGATGAATAAATAAATAGCACTATATTGAAGCTATTAAGAGTATTTTTTGATGGAAAATGAAAGGGGTGGGAGCAGTCTCAGGTTCTAACAATACTTTACATTTATTTCTTTGTCCTAACTAAAATTGTAGAGGTGTCAAAATAATCAAAGATTTCTCCCCATAATAATCTGGCACACAGCAATATAATCTCTTCTTATGAAAGAGTTTCATCAGGATGGTTGAAATACTGGTTTGAAAGTTCTTTAATCACATCCAAAAGGAAAAATTACTTGCAACATTTTTTATGTCTAGAGTTCATACATCTTCCTCAGAAGCTAATCGGCAGACTGGAGTGAGCTGCTGCCAATTTTCTGATCACCAGTTGTTGTTTTTTTTTAGCGATTACTGGAGATCGGAATATTGGCGGCTTACTTGAGTCTGCTGTTTTCGCATCTGAGGAAGATGGCTGGACTCTAGACATCTACATGTAAACTGTTACAGATGATATTTCCTATTAGATGTAAGATAAGGGGGTGTTTCACAAAGACTAAAATCGACTTTAAGTTGGACTTAACTATGGCAAGCCATTCATGCCACCGGTTGCTCTCACCATTAAACTGTCAATTATGATCTTTAGATAATATATTTTTCCTTCGTAATGAATTATCCACAAATGTAAAATTCTGTGTATTTGTGACTATGATTTGTACATCCTTTGAGAGACCAATGCCAGTTAATGGTGAGAGCAAACAGTGGCATGAACGGCCTGCCATAGTTAAGTCCAACTTAGAGTCGATCTTAGTCTTTGTGAAACACTCCCCAGAACTTTCCAATCCTGATCTCTTCCTACCTTGGATTAACGGATAGATGTGAGATAGTATCTTTCTAATCCTAATCTCTTCCTACATGTACCTTGGATTAACGGATAGATGTGAGATAGTAACTTTCTAAACCTAATCTATTCCTTCCTTGGATTAACGGATAGATGTGAGATAGTAACTTTCTAATCCTAATCTCTTCCTACCTTGGATTAACGGATAGATCAAGTACTCTCTGCATGGACAGGAGCGTCTCTTTGAAGAATTCTAGTCGATGGCTCTCAAAGCTTTGCGTTCTGTCAAACTGTCCTTTCATATCTTCCATGTATCTTGGGTTGTAGGTTGTGATGTCATCCAGGGCTTTCTCGTATTTGTCTTTGGTTTTCATGCTCTCCTGTCGACATTTCTCAACCTTGTCGTGGAGTTTCTTCACCTGGAAACCAGACCATATAATAATAATAATATTGAATTCTTATATAGCGCTTAATACAAATGTCTATAAGCGCTTTACAAATATACTATTACCCCGGTCATTGGATTCAGTGCTTGCGTTACTTGACGTTACTTGACGTTACTTGATGCTCAAAACTGTTTTACCAACAATGACGGTCGCATCCTACCGAGTACCCATTTGACACCTGGGTGTAGAGTAGCAAGTGCAGGTTAATATCTTGCCAAAGGATATTAGTGCCGTGTCGGGATTCAAACCCTCGACCTTCGCATCTCCAGTCAAGCGCCTTAAACCACTCGACCACGACACGACACTCCCATATCAAAGAGTTCAGTGGACGAGTCATACAAATTGGAATGACCATTCAATCATTTCATTTATTACTAAAATTTCAGATACATCAGTATATCAGCATCAACTTCTGTGTGTGATATGAGAAATAGTAACGCTGTTCACTGACTCATATGCAAACAATGTCAATGTGAACTGCGCATTAGGGAAAAAAGGAAGGTATGTCCAATATGTTACCAAGTAATCTTGACTAGTATAATGGAACTGTGAACATTAATTAACATTAAAAAATATCATTTAATTTGATGTTTTGTCTGATTCATGCTCCAGTAGCGTTATCAACGTGATACACACATCAGTATTACCATACACACTCGTTTTTAAGAGCTTTCAAATATTTTGTATTTGTTTGTCTGTAAAGTAGCACAGAAGAGTATATAGGAGCTGCACTACATAAATTGATCTAATTATCATTATCATTAAATCTTATATAAGGTCGGTAACAATAGGATAAATTGTATAACTCTCTTAAGTATGTTGAATAAATCTAGTCATCTGATTGGCCGAAATTGGAGTCGTGATTTTAGCCATGCCCGCCTAAAGGTCAATAGCTAATGAGAAAGATGCCTGTTGCCCCGGGTAACGCATAGCTAAATTTTGCTGAAATCCCCATTGATTTACTATATAAAGTTTCTTTGTGCGAGCGTGGATACACTCAGGCAACTTTCCTGCATAGATTAACAGACAGTGTCACAGATCTTCTGCGATGTCTTAACCAATCTTTACTCAAGAAACGGTTAATGTAAGAATTCTTTGTAGATTTTTTTATGAATTCAGTATATAAAAGATATATGGATTGCTTTGATATTCGAGACATAGCTGTTTCTATACTGGCTCTCAGGGACGTTACATCCTGCTATGACCTTGAGGCGTGCCTCAGGGTAATATCAGGATGTACCGTCCCTTTGAGCCTATAGAAACAGCCATGCCTCTCATAGCAGTCAATATATGTACATGTATACTAGCTTGGACTTACCTGATCTGGTGATATAGCTGAATCTCCATTGGCTGATGTTTCCTGTAGCGTAGCGGTCTTTTCTGCTTTGACGGCCGAGTGGTAGGCTTTCTTGGCCGTTTGGGCTTTGGTATAAAACTTGGCCCATGGCTTTTGGGCCTAGCAGACAAACAAAACACACAGAAAAAAAATCAAACAAAAATATGAAGGATAAACACCTTAAAAGAATTATATAAGAACATATATTTTATCAAAACAATTAAACATGTCTATACAGCCTGCTCAAACACTTGCTCTAGTGACTATCAATCCATACTTTATTTTGTCCAAAATATTAAGATAAGGGTTGCAATCTGAATCAAACATAAATTGTGTTTATTCACACTTTATAGGAGGGCGTTAAAATGAGTTTATGTTAATGAGATAAATTTCCTTTCCCTGTACTATTTCATGGCACACATTTGTCTTTGTAACTTCCTCAAAACCTCTTTTGTCTTTGTGTTTGTTTTATGATCACATAATGTATATTTGTCATTATTGTATATTTCTTTGTTACAAATAATCCTGCTGTGACATGATCTTTGTTATTGTTCAACCAATGGAAAAAGAATTGCTGTTGTATGAAAGATGAAACAATAAATTCAATTCAATTCAATTGGAGCTAAAGCAATTACAGGGAGACATAACTAAAAGTTCTTATTACAGATAGTCTTCCTATACGTTTTCATGGACTGGTGGCCTTTTATGCTATACATACTGTACATAAGGACTTTTAAATGTATATGTATGTATATATACAGTCTCTCTCTTATCCACTTCTAATTTTCAACAAGAGTCAAATAGATGCAATAAATTAATCTCTCATCGGTTTCAATCCTTCGACTTAAAGATAACGGTGAGTTATGGTCATGCGAATGCATTGTAAAAGAAAAGGTGTGGAATAGATCAGAAAAAGTTGATCATGTACATGTAGCATGTACATGTAAGTATTGGTGTGTACTGCAAGGTTCTGGAGTCATCAAAATCATGATAAATTTGGCCCAGTCTTGATAAAGTAACAAGCACTGTACACAGAAAGATGTATATGGGACTACACAAAAAATGTCGGGGCTACTAACCTTGATTTCCTTATCTTTCTATGCTCATTACTTAGCCAGTATACATTTTCTACCACAATTGTTTGGCAAATGACATTTATTTGTAATCTTGAATATTCTGTGTAAGTTTCGTTTGATTCTGTGAGAATTCATTTTCTTTTTTTTTACCAGAACTCAACTTTATCTTTAAAGTCTCTTTGAACACCCTCATCATGTAACATGAAGTCTCATACGGTATGCTTTATCTGTGTTGGTACTTTTCAACAAGAATTTAACAGAAAGAAAACCATCCTACCTTTTTGAATCCTTCATCTGTTTCAAACGTTTCTTTGAACCCGCTCATCATCTTCTTATGGTAGCTTTCCTTCTGCCAATTCTTGATACTCGTCATGATATCTGCGTTGAGTTTCTGATCAATCTCAGCGTGAAGTTCTGCTTTCCTATCTGCTTCCGTCAGCACAGCCTTCCATGCTGATTTGGTTGTACCATACTCCGCTCCTATCACAAATAATGAATATTAACAATTATAAAATCAGTAATAATAACAACAACAATAATGGTGGTGGTGGTGGTGGGGGGTGGTGGGGGGTGGTGGGGGTGGTGGTGGTGGGGGTGGTGGTGGTGGTGGTGGTGGGGGTGGTGGTGGTGGTGGTGGTGGTGGTGGTGGTGGTGGTGGTGGTGGTGGTGGTGGTGGGGGTGGGGGTGGTGGTGGTGGTGGTGGTGGTGGTGGTGGTGGTGGTGGTGGTGGTGGTGCTGGTGGTGAGCCTCTCTCAAGTCTCAACACAGCCCTCCACGCCGACTTGGTGGTACCATACTCTGCTCCTATCACAATGAAACAATAGAAACAATAATAATACCCAGAATAACAATAAATCCATAACATTAATAATTATGGTATAAATAGTGGTATTGGTGATGATGACGATGAAGATGATGATGATGATGAAGATAAGCCTTCGTCAATACAGCTTTCCACGCTGACTTGGTTGTACCATACTCCGCTCCTATCACAATGAAACAATAGAAAGTTTAGAAACAATTATACTATCAAATGGTATTGGTGGTGGTGGTGGTGGTGGTGGTGGTGGTGGTGGTGGTGGTGGTGGTGATGATGATGATGAGGAGGAGGAGGAGGAGGAGGAGGAGGAGGAGGAGGATGATAATGAGCCTACACTTATCTAACACCGGTACATATTGTGGAAATAATTTCTCTATCAAAGCAAAAATGATAGACTGTATTGTAGATGTAACAGTACATCAAGCATTGTTTGAAAATAATAATAGAGTAAATGGACAGCGGGCCCGAAATATAATTATTTCAAATTTCAAGCATTCTGTGTCAGTACAGGTACATGTACATGTTACTGTCCTGCCACTTATCATTTTGAAGAAGAAAAAAAACCTCTCATCAATCTGCTACTATGATTATCAATTTTCTGCTTCCATCTGTATTGGCATTTCACCACTGCTGAATTTCCCCTTTAATGAAAATGAGGAGTTCATTTCAGGTAACCAAGTCTGGTCTCGAGATTAAAATGGAAGTGCATCTCCTGGTAGAGTAGCGTTGGGTCGTAATGACACAAACACACATTCAAAAGAACATTCACATCAACGTACAGAACATTTGCCATCGGATATTCATGCACAGCACAGAGTTCATGCTACATGTACACATGATTGGAAGTTCTCATTTATAAGGAAATTGCAGCTGAAGAGAAAATTGGTGAAAACTACTTAGTGAAAACAATTTGGAATTTGTCTTTATAATCAAGCAGCATTCAAGACAAGCATTTCATATTTTTGTGGTTTGGCTCAGTAACTTTTGATTTTAACAGAGCCCTAAAAAATATACCAGGGGGTGTTTCACAAAGACTAAGATCAGCTTTAAGTTGGACTTACATGTAACTATGGCAGGCTCTTCATGCCATTGTTTTCTCTCACCATTATGATCTTTAGATAATATTTTTTCCTTCAACAATTCATCAACAAAAAATGTAAATTCTGTAGATTTGTGATTATGATTATGTACATGTACGTCCCTTGACATACCAATGCTAGTAAATGGTCAGAGCAAACAGTGGCATGAACGGCCTGCCATATGTAGTTAAGTCCAACTTAAAATTGATCTTATTCTTTGTGAAACACCCCCTGGTGGATGAAAAGAAAGGGCAATAGTTTCTGCACATGTAAACAGAGTCCAACTTTGTTCCACAGCCACATTGCCTTTGAAGCAAGATATTTCTTTTAAAACTAAAAATAAGCTTTGAAATCCTTCATATATTGTTTTCAGAGACATGGCAATTCATTGGAACAATGAAGCACTAAAAGAAAATATAAACGTTGCCAATTTGAAGAAGAAAATGTGATTAATTTAACCCTTCATCAATAACTCAGAAAATGAACTTTATAAAATTGTCTGTATGTACAGAGCAAATTGGCGAGAACCTCACACGATAGTAGATACGTCACAGTGTTGCCAATTTGTATTTCACTGATGACAACTTCAAACATTCATAACTTTCCTATTTTTAATCAGATATATTGCTCAAGCTTTCACTTATTTATTTGTATCGTTTTTTTAAATGCTTTTATTAATACCAGCTAATTTTCAGGGTGGACCTCCCCCTTTAAAAATGAAAATGGGAAGTAAAGTATAAATATCGATATTAAAATAAACATTGATTTTTGTTGTTGTTGTTCTTGGATGAGATACTACATTCCTTGTCACCTCACAATGCAAGAAGTGTCCAATTTGATAAGTGAGAAGTTGGCTGAGTACCGTGAATCCTGTATGACCTGATCTGGCTGGTTGAACGTACGTGCTCAGGCCCAGCTTCCTGGCTTGTTTGCTTAATTGATTTGATTAAATCAGGAAGTGTTTTTGTCTAGATCTACTGAGCCGCTGTCCCACAGATGACAGCTAGCTATTACCCAACGATGTACATGTATACATGTAAGCTGCCTGTTGACACTACAACAACAAAATACTAAGTATATTCAATATCAGAAATATTTATCATTATTATCGATAACGCATCCAAGCGGTACAATAAATCAGTGTATTTAATATCTTTAGTGCAGTACCCAGATGACGGATCAATATTGTTTTAGTATTGCTTTGTCATCCTGGAACTTCAACTGTCGATACAATATTGCTTGATTATCGAAAATCAACAACACTTTGGCTAGTCAGCCTATAAACATGTAGATAATAAAAATAGTATTATATCTTTGTTTTCCTGTGATACAAAAATATATTGCTCTCGCTATGACAATATATTCTTGTATTACTTAAAGCCATTCAATATTATATACCGGTAAATATCCACTATGAATAAATAAGCAAAGCAGCATACCGCAATCATGTAAAGCACACCAAAATGCAGATTACAGGTACATGTACAGCGTATGTGAAATAAAAAAAAAATGTCATTAAAAAATGGCTACATGAACATGTACAGTATGATTGAAATGTAAATCACATGGCCCCTTTCATGTATGTGTATATATAAGCATTTGAATTATGCGTAATGGCGCTGCTCAGTGGCTGACGGGCTCACGATCAATTGGGCAAAAAGAAGTTCCATTTTCGGTTTAACTTAATAAAATTGGAGTGGACTTTAAAAGATTATTATTATTATTATTATTATTATGTGCACCTTATTCTCTGGTACAATTTGACAGCTTCAATGATTACATAACACACAAACAATTGACATGTGGGTCCTAATTTTTTTTGCCCATAATTTTGGTCGATACCGATCAAAGGTGCGAGGGTGTCGCTCTGATCTTCTGACTGATCAAAGCCCCATCTTCCAGGGTTCAATAGTCCTAGTGCACAAATATGTAAACATGACATTACACTATTTAAAGAGTACGACGATTGTAATGTGTATTTAACACCCGTGTTTCACTTCTCTTTTCCTTTCACTTTGTTTCATACATGTATTATGTTTAACTGTTAAGACTATATCTTTCTTTACCTCCTCCTTTTCTTGTATTATGTTTCCTTCTTTTTAATTCTCCATCCTAAATTTAAAGTACTACTCATGGGAGATGTGGTATGTATCAATTTATTCCAATTCAAATCAATACATGAAATGAGCGTACTACTGACAGTCTATGGTTTCATGTTTACAGGTTTAAATAGGGTCATGTACACATACATTGTACATGTACTGATGATGATGATGATTCACAGCATTTGTATGGCAATTTAAAAAAAAAACACTCAAAGGCGCGAGCTCCTCCAATAAAGTTAGCATATAAATTGTTATTCAGGCGTAACACATGTACTGCATTCTAAATCCAAAGTCCATTCCAGCTAGAGTCAGAGCGGAGGATTATACTAGACCGGTCAATGTTTACATTCCACCTTGCTATTAACAATAGATACCAGCAAGGTTACAATCAACTAAACATTCCACAAATCTTGCTCTGTGTTTGACCCTCAAAAGATAGATGAATAAATATGCAAATGTACAGGAAAGAATTAAAAGTTAATGCAAGTACAATAGGGACTTTTAGATTTGCACAACAACAATGTGGATTGCTACGATCGACGTCCTTTTAATGCACTGCCTTGAATGGACGTCACACGTATCACTATCAGTCCATGCAAATCTAAAAGTCCCTAATATCAGATTCTACATGTATGTGTATGGGTGTTTTGTCACAACGCATTCCTATAAAGGGCTGTTCAGACCACAATGATACTGATTTACTGCAGAGAAGAGGATCGAGACACCAACCAAACAGGCTTGTGGTATTGGTATGGTCATCCCTTTACAAAGACACACATTGTTCAGGTCCCTCATTCATACTCACTCATATAAGCAGCTTTCACACACAGATCCTTACAATCAAAACCCTTGGGCATCCTATACGCAAAGTTTCAAGTGCTCTGAAAAAGGGGTAAAAAGCATTACTTTAAAGCAGAGCAGTCAATGGCTTGACATGACCTACTGTACAAGCCAAGAAAATAGACCGGTTTACCAGCATATGCAAACTGATGGATGTTTTGATGGATTTCGCGCTAAGATCGGCAAGCGCGAATTTTAGAACTTGTGAAAGAAAAGGTGTGGAATGGATCAGAAAAAGTTGATCATGTAGCATGTAAGTAATGGTGTGTACTGCAAAGTTCTGGAGTCATCAAAATCATAATAAATTTGGCCCAGTCTTGGTAAAGAAAGTACAAGCACTGTACACAGAAAGATGTACATGTATATGGGACTACACAAATGGTGTCGGGGCTACCAACCTTGATTTCCTTATCTTTCTATGCTCATTACTCAGCCAGTATACATTTTCTACCAAAATTGTTTGGCAAATGACATTTATTTGTAATCTTGAACATTCAGTGTAAGTTTTGTTTGATTCTGTGAGAATTCATTTTCTTTTTTTACCAGAACTCAACTTAGTATTGAAAAGTTCTTCATACAATCAGGGGTAATCCAGATAAATCGTAATTCATATCCCGGCACTGACACCTTACTTTTAAGACAACCCCCCCCCCCCCCTCATCAACCATACAGGAGATTAAGTTACAGGAACATACATTGTAGTATGGATTATAATGGGCATTACTCTAATGGCTCTTGACCACAAATACAATTGTCAATTTTGATTGAATTGTTCTCACCTTTCTCAATCAGTTCATTCCACCTCTTTGACCAGTGCTTGAGACTTTTGGCGTACTTCTTCTCAATGTCGCTTCTCTCCTGGATGAGTAAGATCAGTTCATTGGACAGCTTGTGACCATTCTCCATCCGCTTGACCGTCCTCTGAAACTGACCAATCTCCCAGAAGCTTCGGGTCGACTGGTCAAACCCATTCTCTTGACTGTAGGTGGACATTGTGTGCGGTGTGTCAGGGATTTTATTCTCACGTTTTCAGGATCTACTTTTGGCCATACACCTAGATGTAGATTTGGATAGAAAGAGAAGAAAGTTGAAAGAGTCGGTTATTATTTGTCAAATGCTCATTTATAATTATATATTCTCCAAAGCAAATGGCACTACACATATTATAATTTTCTCTGGCAAAAGCTTATGTACAAAATACAGTGTAATAATAACGATACCGTAAATCTCCGTGTACATGTATAAGGCGCACTTTTTTTAAAGTTTCAATTTATGTCCGGTGCTATGCCTGGCAATGTCTCTCAGTTCATTAATCTGTGTGTTGACTCACCACTCGGAAACTAAAACAACACTCAAATTTGTCTGTCATCTTGGTTTGAAAGTACTTAATCTTTATTATAGATCTCAATATGTAGTTTATAATATATTACATGGCGTACCACAAGGTTCTATCCTAGGTACTCTACTGTTTTGAATTCACATTAATGATCTTACACATTCTTCTAAAAACGACATTGTTACTATTATTTGTGACAAGTTCACAAGCACAAATCGGCGCCTTCAACTGCACCTCGATGTTAAATGAAAGTCCTTCCCCGCGTGGGTTTTCGGCAACAAAACAACAACAAAAAAAATTAAAAATAGGGGTGCGCCTTATACACAGAGATTTACGGTAACTAGAAATATCGCAATCTGTATTGCCGCGCACTGCAAATGTATCCCCCGGCACTGACACCAATTTTGTGTCATCCTTATGTTCGAAGGAGGGACAAAGATCGCCTCATCCCTCCTTGAAACAAAAGGATGACGTAGAGATCGCCACTAGTGGCTTAGACTATTATCAAGACTAGGAGCAGCATCACCAAAACAATATGTGTGTAGATTAAAGTATAATGCATCTCTATAAAAGATAACAAGTACATGTATGTGGGGCTTATTAAAACAAACTTAATATCAGGGTGGAATTTCCCTTTAATACCAGACGCACATGTGTATGCACATGTACACTGTACCCATGCATTAGTATCTATAAATTCTGTACTAATGAGTTTCACTGTGCAGTAAATAAGTCATTAGCCATGTGAAAGATGCAAGAAACTGATACTGTTGTTGTGTACAGCACGCAATGCAATGTTTAACTCATTCTATTTCATGTTGCAAAATCTCCTGTGCACCATATGTACAACGATAGATGAATGGTGGTACATGTAAATTACATGTAGATCTTCAAAAATATCTTAAATTTTACCTTCAAACTTCTTTGACAGAAAGGAAACGATAGAATGTTTGTGTCTTGTGTACATTTCTTGTTTGAAACATATACATGTACCCTACTAGAAAGAAAGAAAAGATGATACAACGTGTGATCTTTCTTGTGTCCAAGAGCACACTTTAGTCAAGCTTTAAATTCATATCTTCATTCCTTCAAACTTTTATTCATTCAAACATTCAATAATTTCTTTCATAACACATTCATTATAATGAAGGGTGGTTTCGGTGAAGTGGTGCCAAATACAATGATGACTAGAATGACTAAACAATCTGAATGAATATCATATGTACCATGTATTTACAATATATGACGATGTACATGTACTCATAGGCTGCGTTCATGCTTAAATTTTGAAGGCAGAATGAGCGATCTGAAACGCTCATCGTAAACGCTCATCGTGATCGCAGTTCCACGATGTAGTGTTCATGCTTACTTCTCTGGCTCCCCCAGGCAATTCTCAGTGTGTGGCCTTAATTGGTCTTCCAGCTGGATTCGCAAACCTTCACTGTGCATGCTACGTAGACCCACTAGAGGTCAGTGCGTTGACCCATTTAAACGCGTTTACAAATTGTAAACGCATCTTTTTGTGAGTTTACGATCGGCGATCGTGATCGCCGTTTTTCGGTGATTCTACAAAAGTGAGCATGAACGCAAGCGTGTTTTAAACTAAACGCGTAACAGATGCCTGATTCTGGCCGTCAAAATCAAGCATGAACGCGCCCATAGTTGCACGTGTTGTACCTCCCCTCCCCCTCCCTCATTTAGACACAAGCAAAACTGTAGGAACTCTTTAACTGCATAGTAATACATATTTTTTGGTGTGAATGTGAGATCTTCATACATAGGTTTATATTGAAATGTTGAACCACCATGTTGTCCAATGTTACCTTATTCATGAAAGCAAAACAAATATTTGAGTATTGTGTCATTATATGGCATTTTCACAGGGATGTGTGAATTTCACACTGTACATTTAATGTACAGTACATGTACAACAATACTGTATGCATGCATGCATGTAATACTATGACACCCTTCCTAAACAAGTTATTTTCTATGATTACTTATACAAGATGAGTACTGTAGTTGTACATCTCCTTTTTATACTTCTCTAAGATACCTTTTACATGATTATTTACATGAAATGTTGTTTTTATCTACATGTACATGAATGTAAAAAACTTTTTATACAATTTGTCCCTCCTCTGAAAGAGTTATTATAAGGAATAGAACTACCAGCCATATTTCTCTCTTAAATAGCATCGTCACACATGCAAGGATGCGGTGAGAGGAAGAGAGGAAGGATGGGAGAGAAGGAGGAAGCATTCAATGACCTTTAATGGGTGAAGACAACTTCAAGGTCACAGCTTTCAGACATGTCTCCTTCAGGTTTACAGTTTGAAAGCATCACAAAGTGCAGACCCCCTATCATGTTTTTGAAATTTGAAGTGATAATTTTTTATTTTGTATGCACAATATCAACAGTGGGTTGTTGTATAGCAAGCACAACTGGCAGAATTATAACACTCCTGTGCTCTGTTGTTATTACCCCCAGCTTTCGCACAGCTGCTATTACGGCACTCTACATGTACATGTACATGTGTATGTCTGTAAATAGCATTTCAAGGAATTCATTCCGGCCAGATACCCATTAACCTTGTGGTTCAAAGTCTGGATAATTATCTAATAGACCACAACACATCAAGTAAAATATTATAAATTAACAACAATTTCAATTTCACAACACATCAACATTCTAAATGCACTTTCATAGCACATGAGTCGCCTGCAGCTACATGTAATAGTTTCTATCAACAATTGAAACTACTTCCTTCAAGTCCGTCTTGACTTGCAGAAGTTGCAGTAGACATGCACTATATGTAAATGTACATATGTAGATCTAAACCTGTGCAGCTTTACATGTTACACAACTAAATAATATACTGTATCGTGGGTCATTCTGTTAACATTGAGATAGCAGAACTATTGAAAGGGTTGTAAAATAGGGTGCTTTACAAATAGTTTGAGGGGGCGGTACAATAGTGTTAATTGCAGTGGCTACCAGAGGAGCGTGCATGAGAAATCAGAGTGTTGCCAATTTGTGTCTCACTGATGACAACTTCAGAAATTCATAACTTTTCTATGTCAATCAGATTTTGCTCAAACTTTCACTTTATTTGTTTCTCTCATTTTTCTGGTTTGAATAAAACCAACTAAATAATAGAGTGGACTTCCTCTTTAACAGTTTGTAGGGTTTGTACTGGTATACACATGATCATGAGTACATATACCAACAAAATGTAATGATTACAAGCGGCTCACCATGCACTGATCAATGCAGCATCCATCCGCCAAGATTTCAACATGAAATGTACTATACATTTCAAAGGGAGTGTGTGTGTGTGTGTCAAATACAGCGGTTGTTTACTATCAATAAGTAGGGGGTTCCCCCTGGAGAGCATCCCTTATCATCAGCCAGAGAGAAAGGAAGTTGTGTTTACAGCCTGATCATGACTGTACCCAATCAATGTCTATCTTCAACTCAAGATAATGCTATTAAAATCAGCAGACACACACTGTATCATCTAGTTGGAGTCAGAGAGGTGATCACTCATTTCACACAGAGTGAATTTCCTTCTGTCTCAAACTTCAAAGCAGATGGTACTAAATATGATGTAGTGTATTTTATGTGACTGCATGTAATGTCGAACATACATCAGTGGCGGATCCAGGGGGGGGGGAGGCACAGGGGGCATGTGCCCCCCCCCCCCCCCGGCCAAAAAAATATATTAAAATCAGCCCTAAAAATATACTAAAAAACAGGGGCGTGCCTCCCCGGCCAACGGAGCAAAATGTCAAATTAAAAAATTTTGTGAAAAAAAAAAAAAGTGTCTCCCCCCCCCCCCCCCCCCCATATTCAGCGGCTGGCTGAGTCGATTGTTTTGGGCCTAAAAAAAATATATATATGTTCTCTTTTCCACACGGTGCCCCCCGTTGTGTTCGCCATAGTACTATTAAACTATCATGCATTTTTGGTTATATCTAGACTGCATACCTCTCTATCCCAGTGTTTTCATTATCTTAGCTGTGCATATGACGCGAAGGCAATCTGAATGTATTCAAGAAGGCCTGACTCCAAATGTAATTTATTATTAATATATTAGGACCAAAGCATGATTTCGTTGAAAGATTAACATCCTATTTAGATCTACTTGGATGTTATATATAAATCAAATGAATGTTTTACATTCGTTCAATAGTGTGAACATCTTCGCTCGTTGAAAGATTAACGTTAACTATATTCAACTCGGCTGACACCTCGTTGAATAGAACGATAATCTGTCAACTCATGAAAATATTTGCACTATTGTACTCATAACCATTCATTATTTGTATACTTGTATGCCTACCTGTTTGTACTCATGCAGGGTACCTATTCATCAACTTTTCAAGAGTAAACACATAAATGCTCATTTGTTTATTACATGTACATGTATGTGCATAGTGCAATGAACTTCCCTGCTGTACTACAGTACAGATCTGTGTTTCTATCTATCTATCAGGCTATAGTTCATCCAGACGTTGGACAAAGCCCTCCTCATGAAATTTCCATTCTCTTCTGTCTCTAGCTGTCCTAGTCCAAGCGGCCGTTCCCATGTATGATGTTAGGTCATCTCTCCATCTTCTCTTCTGCCTTCCTCTTCTTCTCTTTCCCATCCTTGGTTGCCATTCTGTTAAACAATTTGTCCATCTATGTATTGTCCTGAAGTCTTGCTACATGC